CTTCCAGGGTTTGTTTCTATCAGCCTGCCAGGCTGCAACACCTGCACACTTACAGTCCCACAGAAGAGGGGCTTCCTCTTCACACACACTCACACACACACACACACACACACAGTGTTTCCTCCTATCTCAGATTGTTTTCTCAGGACTGATTCCAAGAAGCAAAGACAATGAACTCAGCCGAGGAATGGCAACTGTTAATTAGCCAGCATGCTTGCTGGCTGCTTCTGCTCCTGAATTAAGGCCTCATCTATGCAGCCGAGGGAACCAGCTTTTAACCCTGCTTCAGCCTCTTCAGCTTCAGGTAGAAGTGATCATTTTGATTACTTGTCCAGCAAGTTAGGAACACTAGGTGGAAGGGGAAGGCACTGGCCATGCAGGCCTATGATCCAGCCCCGGGGAGGTGGAGGCAGGAGGATCAGACATTCAAGGTTATTCTTAGCTACATAGAGTTTGAAGCCATCCTGGGATACAAGAAACTTTATCAATTATACAGTATGGTGATTTCTCAGAAAATTAGGGGCCAACCTACCTCAAGATTCTGCAATACCACTTTTGACATATGCCCAAAGGTGGCACACTCACACCAGAAGGACATTTGCTCAAATATGTTCATAGCAGCATTATTCGTAGTAGCCAGAACCTGGAAACAACCTAGATGCCCCTCAACAGAAGAATGGATAAAGAAAATGTGGTACATTTACACAATGGAGCACTACTCAGTCGTAAAAAATAATGACATCCTTAAAATGGACAGAACTAGAAAAAAGCATCCTGAGTGAGGTAACCAGACCCAGAAAGAGAAATATAGTATGTACTCGCTCGTAAGTGGATACCAGACACAAAGCAAAAGATACCCAGCTTACAATCCACAATCCCAGAGAAGCTAGCAGATGCAGAAATCCACAACTAACCAATGGGCCAAGCTCCTGGAGTACAATAGAAGTGAGGGAGTAATGAAAATATGAACAAAGGAGTCAAGACCATCATGAGGAAACCAACAGAATCACCTGACCTGAGCTAGTGAGAGATCACTGACTCAGGTCTGACAGATGGGGATATGAGGCCACTGGCAGTGGGTCCAAGATCTAACTGTAAGCCGGGCGTTGGTGGCGCACGCCTTTAATCCCAGCAGGGGCAAGTGGATCTCTGTGAGTTCAAGGCCAGCCTGGTCTACAAGAGCTAGTTCCAGGACAGCCTCGAAAACAATACAGAGAAACCCTGTCTCGAAAAAACAAAACAAAACAAAAAAGTTCTAACTGTAATGCACAAACTGACTTTGTAGAGCCCATTCTATATGGAGAGATACTTTGCTCAGCCTGGGGGGGGAGGATACCACACGACTTGTTCCTGCCTCAACAAGGGGAGGCCTTACCCTCTCCAAGGAGCAGATGGGAGAGGGGGGTGTGGGGAGAGTGGGAGGAGAGTAGGGAGTGAGAACTGGGATTGGAATGTTAAAAAATAAATTAGCAAAAATATTAAAATCTAGAGAAAAAATTAAACATTTTCAATTATAATAAAATGTAATCAGTACTATTGGGATGTGGAGATGCACACCTATACTCCCAGGTTTGGGAGGCCAATACAGGATTACAGTTCAGTGACAGCCCAGGCTGAGCAGTAAGACCTTGTAAGACTTGTGCACCCTATCCCATTTTCTACGATATCACTCCAGTCATTACCCCTTCCTGCCTCTTCTCTTCTCCATCAAGGTCTCATGTATCCCTGGCTGACCTTGAACTCACTAAGTAATTGAGAATAGCCTTGAACCCCTGGTGGTCCTACTTCTACTTCCTGAATGCTGGAATTAGAGGTGTACATTGTACCAGCATGCCCAACCATGAATATGTAAGAGTCTGTTTATATACTGATGGCAATGATCAGAGAGACAGTGAGAAACCTGGGTTGGAGGTATGTGTCTCAGCAGTTGGTAGACAGATTGCCTAGTGTGCACAAAGACATGGGTTAGATCCCTAGTCCACATAAATAAAATTGGGTGATGCAGGTGAAGATCAGTAATCCCACCACTCAGGAGTGGGGGCAGATCTGGAGTTCAAGGGCATCCTTGACTACATTGCCTGGGCTACAGGAGACCCTGTCAAACAACAAGCAACGCCTAAATAAATCAGGTCTTGGGTTGGAGTTATAACTATGAGTAATTGACTAACACATACCAGGCCCATAGTTCTACCCCTAACAAAACACACACACACACACACACACACACACACACACACACACACACACACACAAGTTGGCAAGGATGTGGAGAAATCTGAAATCTGAACACTTTACATTGCTGTGGAAAAACATCAGATGGTGCAGCCACTGTGAAAATCAGACCTGTGGGTCCTCTGCAAGCTCAACATGGAGGGATGCAGTTCAATGGGAGAGTGTTGCCTACCACACATAAGGTCCTGCCTTAATTGCAAGGAGAGGAAAGCCGTATTATCATATAGCCAGCCCCCAAGGATTCCAGGCCCTACATGAGTTGATCCCTCCTCTGTCTCTGTCTCTTGCTGGCTCCACTCCCTGGAACCCTTCTGGTCTCCCGGCACATAGAGTGCTGCTGTTTCCAACATATGTCTACTCAGTTCTACTGACTTCATCTCCTCTAAATCCTTCCCAAGTCTCTCGGATTTAGCCTTTGCTAAACACCCTACTAAGTACTACATCTGTCACCCAGCACATGTCACCTGTCCCCCCCCCTTTTTTTTTTTTTTTTTTGGTCTTTACGAGACAGGGTTTCTCTGTATTGTTTTGGAGGCTGTCAGTCCAGCCCGGCCTTGAAGTCACAGAGATCCGCCTGCCTCTGCCTCCCGAGTGCTGGGATTAAAGGCGTGCGCCACCACCGCCCGGCAGTTTTTCCCCCTTTTTTGGTCACAGTTTTTGTCCCGGCTCACCTGTTGTCATTGCTATGGTGTGTACATCTCCTCTAGGCTAGGATGCATACTATGAGAGCAGAGATCTTATTTTGGTGATAAAGCTTCTGAAATAGGACTAGGCACATAGTAGGTGTTGAATAAATAGATATAAATATCCAATTAATGACTTATTGGGATTAGATATGACATTATAATTAAAAGGTGTACAGGGATGGCTCAACAGGTAAAGGGGCTTGCCTGAAAACCTGACAACCTGAGTTCTCCTCTCGAGATCTGCAGGAACCTGAGAGAACCAAGTCCTGCAAGCTGTCCACTGACCTCTACATGGATGCTATGGCACTTGTGCTCAAAGTTGAGTGCACGCACACACCCGTACACACAAGTACAATAATTTAAAGCAAGGAGGGAGTATACAACAGTGTGACTCAAGAAAAATGCTCAGTATATGACAGCAGCCATGACTGTGTGCAATGACCCCTGTCGGCAGGGCCAGCCCTCAGTAAATGACAGCAGCCATGACTGTGTGCAATGACCCCCGTCTCGGCAGGGCTTCAGCCCTCTTCTGTCTTCTTCCCCCACGACATCTCTCATTTTCTTCTTTACATTTATTTATTTGGTTTTCTGAGAGAAAGTCTCAAGTAGGCCAGGCTGTCCTTGACCTGCTATGTGGTTGAAGATGGCCTTGAACTTCTGATCCTTCTGAATAGTGAGATTACAGGTGTGCATCAGTAAACCCAGTTTTTTTGTGGTGCTGGCAAACCAACCCAGGGCTCCGTGCCTGCCAAACACTCTACAAACTGAGCTACAACCCAGAGCCCAGCACTGCATGTTTTTGAGACAGAGTCTCAGGTAGCCCAGGCTGGCCTTGAAGTTGATATGAAGCCAATGATGACACCCTCTTGCTCCTCCTGCTTCAGCCTCTGGGTGCTGGGACACAGGCTCGACTGGAATACAGGCTCGGCTGATAACACTTGCCACTTGAGCTCGCTCTTCTCAAAAGCTCTAAGTCCGTGTCATTCCCATTCCGAAGGTTAGACTTCCCAACTTACTTCACCTCACCTGCTTCCTCCTCCTTAGCCCCAGGCTTCCCAGAAAAGCAATCAAAACTTCCATCTATTGGAAGGTCCCAAGGGTGGGGCAGAGTTGCTGAGCCCTTCTGCTCACTTTAGCTTGCAGCAAGCACTCAATAAATGCCCATTGAGTGAAATGTGTTTTTCCAATCAGATTTTGTTGGAGCCTCGTAAGTCTCTAAACTAGTGACAGAACCCGAAGATACTATTTTTTTAACTTTAAAAATTACATTTTTTTTTTTAGAGCTAGGAGGCATGTACCTCATGTGGGTCTCAGGGATCAAACTCTGGTTTGGCAGCAAACACCTTTGTCTGCTACATCAACTCACTGGCCTCTGAGGAGGACCCTTTAAAGAAACTCAGAGAAGAACCTGTTGACACACAGAACAGTTTGCTGTCCGATCAGTGGTCACCAAGCAGGGGGCCATCTCTGTTAAAGCCGAGTCATCTGTTTCCTAGGGACTCCCAGAGACGGCAGCTTTTCCACACAGACCTGGACGACAACTTCTGGTCTCCTTGGTGAACCCTCTTTCACCAGAATGCACTCAAGGCCAAGGGATCCCTCTGGAGCCACCTGCCCTAAATTCGATTCCCAACACCACAATCTGCAAGCGGTATGACCCTGGGTGAGGCACTGTCTCCTCCGGGCTTTCCTTCCCTGCAAAGTAGGTGACTTTGACCCAATAGCGCGGAAAAGCGTGAAATCTGATCAGTCCGGGAAGGTCTCAACTTCGATTCTAACAAGCGTCAATTTTCCGTTTCTCAACAAAGCTTCGGAGAGTGGCAAGAATGTGGGAGAAAGTGTCCAGAACAGGACTTTAGCTTGATTTCTAATTCTGATTTGCCAAGTCCCCTTCCCTCTGGAGGCGTCAGAGGTCTGGGCTCTGAACCGCCCCAGGTAGGTGGTGGCAGGTTCCCCAGGAGAGCGCCCTCCCCCACGCCCTTCCCCTGCAGCTGGTGACACCCAGACTCCAAAAGTGAAGCACCCGGGGTGGGGCGGGGCGGGGCGGAGCGGGCAGCGAGCGAACCCGATTGGCCCCTGCGCGCCACGTGTCCCGTGCCACGGTGAGCCCAGTCTGCGCTGCGGCTGCTGCTAGGCTAACGGGCTTCGAGCTGCGTCTATCTCTCGCCCTTATCCAAGGCCTCCTCCGCACGGTGAGTGTGCAAAGTCGCTGCAGGGCACGGAGCCCTGGGCTGCGGGGACCGGGGATGGGTCCCTGCTGCCGTGTGGCCACCCCGGGGTGTCGCGTTTGGGTGTGTCCCTGGAGTGAATCTGAGGTGTAGGCGCGGGGTGACAGCGCCCCTGCGGGGGGAGGGGAGCTGGTGGAGCCCCGGCCCCACAGAGGGTGTGGTTCAAGGCGGGGGATGCCTGATCGCCTTAACTTCACGGGTGGAAAAACTTGGGACGACTGGGGACCCGGATGTAGAGACCCTCAGGGGAGGTTGTGAGTTGCCCAACTTTGAAAGCTTTGAGGAATTGAATCCTCAGCTGCGCACCGGACAGCTCGTTGTGTGGTCGCGGAGAGAGGCTCCCTGATGCCCACTGAGGAAGAACCAGCTGTCCATCCCGAGGGCTCTGATGAACTGGCCCCAAATACGCAACTGCTCACCTGTCCCGGAGTCTTGAGGCTCTTAGCCGGAGGCAGAAGCCCCATTCTTTTTTCTGCTTCTCCTAAGCCAACCCTGTGCCTTCCCAAAGCTCCAGGACCTTAGATGCTTTCTAAAGACCTCGAATCCAGACCCCACCACCAACTTGCAGTGTGACCTTGAGCCGGTCTCTTTCCCTCTCCCAGTCGCTGGTAAACCCCTTTCTAGGTAAACATTCGCTGTGAAAGTGGATTGATCTGGCTGCTAGTACAGGTGTGGGTGGTGAAAAGCTTGAGCAGAGTGAATCTGGCCTCTGCTTCTGCCCTCCCGCCCCTTCCTTTTGTCTAAACTCTAGTGGGTCTTCCCAGACGCTTCCAAATTTGGGCATATGCCTCCTAGGTTTGTAAGAGCTACTGGTGTCCCCTGAGAATCTGTCCTCCTTTCCATCATGACGCTGCTGCCCCCACCCCCAGACAAGATAGTTCGACTTCGAAGGCTTTCTTGCCCCAATTGCAGCCATTTCTGCCCCTACTGTTCTGGCTGCAGGCCTTGAGCCTTGCAGAAGACCCAGGGCAACTCTCTTTCAAGTCCATGGGTTGAAGCTTGCCTGGGGCCCTTGGATGGGCCTCTTTTCTTTCTGGGCCCTTGTTCCCCATAGCAGTCTGCTGAGTGGCTGTCACTTCCGGTGCCCCCCTCCCCGCGCCAATTCAACTGCTCTCAGATTTAAGAGTTGGGTGTGGCTGGGCATGGAGGGAAGAGAGGGCCTTCATCTCTCCCCTTGCAGCTGTGACTGTCGCTCACAACGTCCCCTTACTTCCTGTGCGAGCCTCCCTCAGCTGGGATACCGAACCTATTTGCTGTTTCTGGGCAGGGGATGCAGCTGTCCATGGACAGAACATGGATGTGCTCGGAGACTAGAGATGCTGGGGTGGGGTGGGGCTGGGAGTGGGGGACTGCAGCACTGGAAAGCTGCCAGAGACCATGCATTCATCTGCACTGCAGCTCCCAGGACACCAGGCCCAGCCCCACCCCATCTCTGCCCCTCCACCCACCAGCGAGGCATCTCCTCACCCTGATTCCTTCCTCGCTGGAGGAGGAAACCTATACCCAAGCCCCCAGCTGGCAAGATGTGTTGGGCCTGGGTGGTGGCTCTTTACAGAGCCATGCAGGCACAGTGGCGGCCCGGTGCACCCCTAGATAGACTTCCTGAGTAGGGTCAAAACTGAGGATGTGGTCTCTACACATTCCCCATGTGGAGGATGGGAAGTGAGAGTTGTATCTTAGCTTGCTGCTTTTTGGCTTGGAATCCAGCCTCTTCTATTTACACTCTGCATTCCATTTGCATTCGGAATATCCTCTCCTGGAGGACTAAGGAGCCCCCACCAAGGCTGGCTCTGTAGAGCAGGGTTGACTTGTTTCTATGAGCCCAGATTCCCCTAACTGTAAAAGGACTGATAACCTTCCCTGAGCCTGCAGATATGCAAGTGCCCTGTAAACTGTGGAGTGCTCTGTGTAGAGAAGCTAGTGCTGCTGTGGTAACCTCAGAAGGGTGTGGTACCCAGGAGGCTACCTGAGCCTCTGGTTCCTCTTTCTCCATTCCTGCAGATGCTCCTTAAAGTCGTCCTTGTCACTGATGGAATCCTTCCAGCTGAGCAGACTCAGGGAACCCTTGCTTTGTTAAATGCTGGTATCAGCCATTACAGAGATACACTCTAGCCCTCAGATGTAAAGAAATGGCTAGAAATGTGTTCCCCTACATAGGGGAATCCCTGATTCCTTCCCCAGGGAGGCATAAACTGTATGTATCTACAGTCACAGCAGTTGGAGGTGGAGACTGCAGGATCTCGACGTTCAAAGTTCAAGGTCACTCTGAGCTAGGTAGCAACTTGATTACAGGAGGCCCCATCTCCAAAAAAAAAAAAAAAAAGTAAAGACTAGTTGTAAGCCCTTGCACAGCCCTTCCTGTGCACAAACTTTCTGTGCAAAGTCCTCTTGTGCACACTCATCGTGTCTTCATTCTTGCCAGGTGTGGAAGCCAATGCCTTTGCTTTAATTCCAGCAGAGGCTGTTGGATCTCTGAGTTTGAGGCCAACCTGATCTGCTACAGAGACTCTGTCTTAAAAATAAATAAAAGAACCCAATTCGTCTTTATTCTTTGCACCTTAACCATAACCTTTACAAGGGTTCTGTTTTAAATATTTTTCTTTACATGTATGTTTATTTATCTGTATATGTACATTTATGCATGTGGGGGTCAGAGGACGTCTTTCCAGAGTTGGTTCTCTGCTTCCATGTCAGGGGTCCCGGGTAGAACTCAGGTCATCAGGCTCCTCACATGCTGGACCATCTTGCAGCTGTTTTTACCCCCAAACAAGCTCTCCCTTTTTGTTTGCCTCTGGCCTATGAGCTATCGGGGATCCTCTTGCCTCTGCCTCCCATCTTGCAGTAGGATGGTAGACTTGGCTGCTGTGCAGGGCTTTACCTGTACTCTGGGGATTTGAACTCAGGTCCTTCCACCACCAGCTGCTAAACAGCACCTTGGAGCTTTGACCTCGGGACACCTGACTACTGTGAGATGCTAGACTTTATCATTCATGACATGACTTCACCTGGGATTCAAACCCACACCAGGCAATTTCTGATCCTGGGGCAGTCGGATGAATGCCTGGGGCCCTGTCCAGCTGGGGATCAATGACTGTTGGTCAGGAGTTGGAAGACACTGCTCTCGAAGAAACCTGAGTGTCTGAAGTGGGGGGGAGGAGCAAGACAGGGTGCTCCATCCTGCTTCATCAGCTGGGAGTAGGAGCTGCTCCATCTGCCTGGGGAGAGCCTATAGGAAAAGAGAAAGAATTTTCTAGATTCATCTTTTCCTGGTGTTAGGAAAAAATCCAAGGACTTACACATGCTAGATGAATAGTCTACACTAAACTGCATACCCAGCCTGAAAGGGATTTTGAAAGCCAAAGCCTTCAAAGTACAGTAGACTTATACCAGGAGGGCCATACCTTTCTGGAGTACAGAAAGTTCTCAGACTCTGTTATTAAAATGGTTGTCTTTGAGACAGTGTCTCATGTAGCCCAGGCTGACCTTGAATTTACTATATAGCTCATAATGAATTTCTAATCCTCCAGCCTCTATCTCCCACATGCTCTGATTGCTTGCATGTATTATCGTGCCTGGCTTATTTGGTGCTAGGGATCGAACCCAAGGACTTGTGCATTCTGGACAGGTACTCTACCAACTGAGCTACTTCCCAACCTACAGCATGTACTTTTTCTATGTCATTTTAAAAGTAATTGAAGGGTAGAGAAGTCAGCAGTGAAATGACTTAGCAGGTGAAGACTCTTGCCACCAAGCCTGATGACCTGAGTTCAAGTCCCAGGCCCACATGGTAGAAGGAAAGAACCAACTTTCACAAGCTATCCCATGGTACATGTGTGCCCCCCCCACAATGTGTCATAATCAGTGTTCAATTTTTTTCCTCTATAATTATTGGTGGTCAGGTTCCAGGATTGGGCTGCCAGAGTCCTGCGTGCAAGAGCCTTGGCTATCCAATTTTCTGACCTAGCCCCAGCTCCCACCACTGAGTCTAGGTTGCTAGTAGGTTTATTGTTTTGCTTTGTTTTCTCATGAGTCCCTAGTTAATCAGTAATTTTTCTCTCTGGACTCGTACAAGTTACCCAACTTCTCAGGTCATTTCCCCTCTGGTCACAGCGTGGGAGCAAAGCAATTGCAATTTGATTCAATGGTTCTATTCCCATCCCCCGTCCCCCGTGACTTCTCAAGGATGTCACTACAGAAACCTCTCATGGCTGTAACTGAAGTTTTTACCATGTAAACCTGAACTTCTGCAGCCCTAGCTGGCAAGGCTCAGTCACCTGGTCCCAAAAAACCAGTTAGAGACCAGTAATGGTGGTGGTGGGGGAAGCATTAAAAGGAAATGGTTTAGTCAGTGTGACCAAGTTGGGAGGAAGGACAAACTGAGGGAGGCTGGGACGCCAACCCATTTTTAGGATACTGACATGAGCCTTGGGTCTGAATAGAGGAAGAACTGAGGCAGGAAATGTGCAGTCAGCTAGTCCTGGTTCCCATGTGGCCTCCACCTTCGTTATCTCCATTCTGGTTCCTTTAGGTGGTTCTTAGAAACCCTTACTCCTGTCATCATCATCAATACCATTGCTTTAGGAGCTCAATATGGTTCCCACCAGCTGACCACTTCATTTCCAGGGTGCAGCTTGCCCTCACGGATTCACTTTTACAGGGTGATCTGTTCCGCACAGTTTTGTTCTTTGGGTATGTCAGGTGACTCCAGAGGAGAGGTCCAGGGCAGTACTTAGCTCTATACTTTCAGCTAAAGTAAAGGAGACAGACAGACAGGCAGGCTCCAGGTGAAGGGATGCCAGGAGACACCTTGAATTTAGGTTCCTTTGAGCAAAGTGAGGTGTCTGTGGTTTTGAGGAAAAGTACCCTAGAAGGATTGGTTTCTTAGCCTCTTGGTGCAAGACAACCTTTAGGAAATGCCGTCCCTGGCCACAGGGTGACAGCAGGCACAATAGCTGTTCAGTAATTTCCCCCAAAAGGGCCAAGTTGTGAGTCACATGCAGTAAAATAAAAATGATCTTTTGCTCAAGGTTTTATTCTACTTCTAATCAATGGACTAGTGCAAGCAGTTATTAGTAACCAGCTCAAAATGAATCAATAGCCACCTTTATATTGAAAGGAATATATGCACTTAGAGGCAAAACTGGTTTTTCTACCCAAGGGGGAAGGGAAAGACAGTGGAATGTGCAAGTTATTAGAATTACTATGTATGAACATTAGTCACCTACAACTTGCTGAGCTGTGAAGAGCCTGAAGACACAAGAACTAGAATCAGATAACCCAGAAAGGTTTTCTTTGAAGATAGATTTTTTTTCCTTCCCCACGGTGCATTCAGGGCCAGTGACCTCCAGCTACACAATGGCAAATCCTCAATGGCTGGCCACAAGCCAGTCAAGGGAGAGTGATGTGGAGCCCCATGGGGATTCCAGGGAGAGGAAATCTCCCTGGCTCCCCTGTTGAGGTACAGCTGAGACCAGTCAGTTGGTTCTCAACTTTGTTGGCTGCAGTGGCCTTTGGTGTTTTAGAGAAAAAAGTCTTCAGGTTGAATTAATAAAACTAGAATGGAGAAACCTTGATCTAGATTCTAGAAGGTTGGGTAGAGAAATGATAGTAGAGGGTGAGTATTCCTGGCTTAGGGAGAGAAGTGGACAGAAGTCATGAAGGGTAGTCTAGGGCATTAAATGTTGAGCCACAAGACCTGGCCTTGGAAGGCACTATGGGACGGAGATTGGTTATAACCCTTCAAACCCTCCTCTGTCACACACACAGCTAGATGTAGGGCTGTTCCAAAGTTTCAACCATTTAAAAAGATAATTTATTATTGGTGCTGTGTGTGTGTGTGTGTGAGAGAGAGAGAGAGAGAGACAGAGACAGAGACAGAGAGAGAGAGAGATGCATGTGAGGTCAGAGGACAATTTTGTGGACCCTGTTTTCTCTTTCCACCTTTTATGTTCTAGGAATCAAACTCAGGTCACCAGACTTGCATGGCAAGCACCTTTACCTGTGAAACTATCTTTCTGACCAAGTTTTGAGTGTCGCACTGTGTAGCCCTGACTATCCTGAAACTATGTAGACCAAACTGGCCTTGAACTTAGAGAGATCCACCTGCCTCTGCCTCCCCAGTTCTGTGACTAAAGGGATGTACCACCATTCCTGGCTCTACCTGCCAGTTTTGATTATTTTCATCTTTGAAGTGAACTGAAATTACACAATTTAGGAGGGGAAAATCACAACCATGTACCTCTGTACATGCATTAATATACATAGGCACTAAAACATGGGCAGGATGATAGAGTCCTTCAGTAAAGTGAACAGAGGATGGGGTTGGGCTTCTAGGGGGAAAGAAGTGGCCCAGGCCTATAATGAAGATGAAATCTCAGGTCAGGGTGACCTGTGGTCATTTCTATCTGGACCAATCAGACCTCCTGTATCCTCCTGTAGATAAGATCTTTCCTGTGCAGCAAAGGGAGTATGAGAAATACCTCCTCCTACACCCACTGTCTACTGATGAGGACAGAAGTGAACAGCTTCCTGCAAAGAAAGGAAGCCGTGTCTTAGAGCCCATGTTCTATTTGTAAAGGTCTGCAGTTCCTCTGAATGGCCAACTTGACATATGCCACAGAAATACATTTGGTTGGTTGTGGGTGTGGCTCAGTTGGTAGAGTGTTTACTGGCACCCTGAAAGCCAGCCCTGGGGTCAGTCTCCAGCACTGTATAAACTGGGTACCATGATGTACACATGTAATCCTAGCACTTGGGAGGTGGAAACTTGAGGGTCACCTTATCTGAGGATACATAGTAAGTTCAAGGCTAGCCAGGCATACAAGAGACCCTGCCTCAATAAAAACAAAATAAAACAGAGTTTAAAACAAACAGTCTAAGGCTAGAGAGACGACTCAGTGGTTAAGAGCACTTACAACTCTTCCAGAAGAGTTTGGTTCCCCGAACCCAGGTTCTTTGGCTTACAACTGTCATAACTCCAGCCCCTTGGAAATCCAACCCCCTCTTCTTATCTCCATACACACACCTGTTCATGTGTGGCATACTTTCATCCAGACAGGCATGTACACATAAGCATAAATAAAAAAATATTTTAAAAGTTACTTTTGCAGATGCAGAGAGATGGCTCAGTGGTCAAGAGCACTTGTTGGCTCACAACCATCTGGGTTCTGATACACTCTCCTGACCTCTGTAAGTACCAAATACACATGTGGTGCACATACATACAGGCAAAATAGCCATATACATAAATAAATCTAAAAAGAGATTTTTAATTACTTTCAGGTGGGCATTTTAGTCTCCCACAGAAAGGGTGGCTTTTGCACAATGTCTTGCAATATCCTAAGAAAACCTTACGACTATCCCATTTCTAAGTGGGAAATTTCTAAACTGAGGCGGAGAGAAGTAATGCAGCTGGTTCAAAGTCCCAAACTAGGTGTTTGCAGTGTCAGGATTTGAACATGGGGATCTTGACTTCAAAGCCTTCATTTATTGCCATGTTAAACTTATCCCGATAAACATGATTATTTATTGTTTTTTTTCTGTGTGTCAGCAGTCTTGCTAAGCATTTTTCATCTGTTCACATCGGAATTCCAATATGTCTTTGCAGATGAGCAAGCTAAGATTTCAGTTTAAACAACTTATGTTAGTCAGAGTTCAGGAGACGCGGTGGCCTGGGCCCATTCTCTAGGTTGGGCAATAGGACTCTACCCCTCAACCCCCAAAGAAACCCCATAATGGTCACAAGCTACCAGGCAAGGCAGTGGTGATGGCCACTTAAGAAGAAGCCATTAAGGTCACTGCCCCGGAGGGAGGTTTTTCTGGAATGATCCAATCACTCGTGTGGTGGTCAGATGAAAGAGACTTGGGGCTCTGAGAGAGAAGCTAGTTTTAACCAGTCTTGAGCACCTTTTTCAGGTTAAGTTGGTAAAACTTAGAGACTGAGGGAGGGCTGAGGAGTCCTGGGGTCTGGAGAGAGCCTTCCCAGCGTTCTGTTGTGAAAACCGCTCACTGAAATATAGAAAAGTCATTCATATTGACTATGGGGCTTCCCAAAGATGGCAATTGTGCACAGCACAGACCTCATTCCATTAAGGTCCAGAGAGGGAACCCAGCAGGAACCACATACCCTGGGTCTCTCTCCATCTGTGTGGAAGCTTGCTGGGACCTGGGACTGTAGACAAGGCTGCTGGCTGAGTCCTAGCCATCTTGAAAAAGGCTTGGCGGTCAGGTGGTTCAGGCCTCAGCTAGGGTCCTTGGCCAGTGGCTGCTCAGCTGGAGGTCCTGTGCTGTAGGTTATTATGTGGGCAGGGCAGTGCTCAGGCAGCTAGCCTCTATGTTGTAGCCTTTAGCTTTCCTGTTGGAATGGACCAGATTGACCATCCAAACTTCAATCTGAAATTATCAAAGGAACTCACTTTTTACATACAGAGGAGGCAGCTCCCCCCTCCATCCCAAGGGGCCCACAGAAACTGCCCTTGGAGTTTCCCCCAAAGGCATGGTGGCCCCGCCTTGGAGCAGGCTCTCTGTGGAAAGGGGCTGCCTTCCAGATGGGCCTGGTCACCAGCCAGCTGAAGTTTCCAGCAACAAGGCCAAGGAAAGTGCCTCAGCCTTCAAGTGTCAGCACACTTCCTGGGCCTCTTTCACTCCCTGGGTTTCTGGCAGTTTGAGGGTTCGTTCCTTCACTGGCTGCCCCTTGAGTATCCAGACTTGGGGTAACCCCAGGGCTGGTTCTGAAACCAATCTTAGAAGTCACCCCTTCTCATGTGAGGTTTTCATTTCCTGGTGAGAGCTGCAGTTTTATGCCAAGGGGCCCCTGGTTGCTAGGGCAACAGCAGGGTTTCCTGTAGCTGAGCTTCAAATGCAGACAGATCTCCGTGTGCACCCTCCACACCCCAACCTCATCAGATGACTGCCCCTTGCTGACTGCAGGACACCAGCAGAGGCAACATAGGGGCAAACTAAAAAAGTCCCTGTACCCAACACCCCACCACTGCCATGGATACCACCGCTCCCGAGATGACTGCTCTGTGCTGGAAGCAGTTCAGGCCCTAGCCCACCACTGCCATAGATACCACCGCTCCTGAGATGTCTGCTCTGTGCTGGAAGCAGTTCAGACCCCAGCCCCCAGCACCACTCCCAGGCAGTTTGTGCTTAGCATAACCTTGAACTCAGAAATCAGCAATAAGTCCTGTCACATGACTACTAGATGTGAGGGGAGAGTTCTCCAAAGTCAGGGGATATGTAGGACTGGAGAGTGCTGAGTTGCAGGTCTCTATGGATCCACCCTCATTTCTAGTTCATTCCTTGCAAGTAAGGTATTTTCACTCTTACAATTTTGAGGCGGTCAGCTTAAGCCAGCCGCTCCTAGAGTACAGAGGCCATCCCTCCGTGGTTCCCGATTGCTCAGCTTGTATCTCCTGCCCTTCTGCTGAGTGCCTGAGGGCTAAGCTCTGCTCTGCACCCGCTCCTTGTCCCCTGCTCATCTATTTATAAGAATTCACCTGTGTCCCTTGTTCCATCAGTGTAGCCCTTGTCTCTGACACCCCCAGCCCATAGTCCTCACCCGTTCTGGTAAGATATTTTGCCCCATTTGTTCAAGTCTCCCACAGTGGTGATGGCTGTGTTCCATCAGATTTGAGCCAAGTCTTCACAGTGACATCAGGCACTGGGTCAGACCATCCTGTCACCATCCTTCTGCCTGCTGCCACCCCGATGACACCGAGCTCTGTGTTGCTGCCTCTTACCCAAACATCTGTATGAGACCTCTGACTGGCCACCCAGGATTAATTGCATCCCATTACCTCTTGTCCCGCACATTGTCTTTCCTCCAGGTGCTTATTGAAATCCATGTGGGTGCATTTATCACTGGGACCCATGAAAATAGGACTGTCCAGTCTTGAGTATGTCCTGCTGTGTTCTCAGGGTGCAGAGCATTGCTGGCTGGGGTAGATGATGAGTGAATGCAACATACCCAAGTTGAGATGATGTCCTCAGGGAGACACCTGGGACCTCCCGCTTCTTCCCATTTGGATGCCAGAAGGCCTGGTTAGGAAGCCATTCTCCATGGTTTGGAAAGAGGGCACACAGAGTGCAGGTAGCACACCAGGGCTCTGAATTCTGGAGTACTGCTTTGGCTTTGGACTAAATGTGGTACCCAGCCTTGGTCTCCTTTGTCTTACAAAGGGCACCTGCCGCCTGTAAGGATTGCTAAAAGGATTAGGAGAGATAACAGGCACACAGCAGGGCCTTGGTCAGTGCTGGTCAGTGGTCATGCCCAGCCTCCCTTCTCCAGGTCCCTCTCCCACCCTGCTGTGACTGACTGTGTGTTATCTAATACAGCCACTGCCGTTTGAAAAACAAAGTTCCTGGCTCTACAAGGTCTCTGGGTATGAGAATAGCAGGAGGGAAAATGAGGGGCAAAGAATGGAGACTTACAGAGTCCTGGGGTGGTCTTTCAAATTCTCTTTCTCTTTCCACAGTGGTTTCTGCTGCAGAACCCCAAGACCATGGCCAAAACAGGACAGGTAAGGGTCTCCCCTCCTCAAGGTCCCTGCTCTTAGGTCTGGGAACCCCAGCAGCAGTAGCCCAGAGTCCCAGGTACCCTTAGCTAAGCTGGGTACTTTCAGCTAGCCTCTGCTACCTTCAGCTAACTCTTGGGGCCTCAGTTAACCCCTAGTACCTTCAGATAATCCACAGTACTTTCAGCGCAAAAGGACCAGAGGTGGCTGTAAATGTGCATCTCTTCATATGCAAGTCACCAATGGGGACATACAATATCCCACGTACAAAGGGATGTGAATTGTCTCAAGTATTGGGAAATTCAGGACCTCGGGACTGATTGGATCCAACTCTTAGCTGGCAGAATGAGGATTCTGCTTCTGTGGGCAACTTCTAGATTGCTTCATTCCTGAGAGGTTTTGCCTGGCATGGGCATCGTCTGCCTCTGGCTTCCATTCTCCTGTCTTCATAGACCCAGATACAACAGTGCAACTTATTTCCAGTGGTTCCAGGTTCTAGCCTCATTGGCTAGGCCTGGGTGACATGCTTTTTGGAGTGGGAAATGGAAGTGACCCCATCAGAACCATGTGGCTCCCAGAAGAGAGATGGGCAACTAGACAGTCAGTAAATCACAATGAGGGTTGCTTATGCCCTGAAGAGGTGTGTTCCATGTCATACCCATTGGGGTTAAGTTTTCCTGACCAGGAAGACTCTAACCTCAGTCTTTCACACTGTCTGAACTCTGTTGGGTGATAGAATTTGAGACCAAATGGAACATTCTCTCCTGTGTGGCTAAGGGAGGTGTGAGCGCTTCCTCTGTGTAAGGATTTGCCTGAGAGAGATCCCAGTTGGCTCCCCTTTCAGTGCAAACCTGGCATTCGAAGGGGAGGATGAGCTGAGGGAACCCCAGCAGGCCCCCTTTTGTTGCTTACCCCATGTCTAGAGCTTCTGGTCACAGAGCAGGCCTCCTACTGGCTGAACTGAGAGCCAATTTCACTCCACCTCTCCTTGTGACATGACATCCAGTGAACCAGGGATAGCCGCAGCTTGCATAGAGTAGCGTGTATATGATGCAAGATAGACTCTCAAAATAGCTCTTGCAAGCTTCTCTCCAAGCCCCTGAGGAGCATGCTTTGTCCCACAGGCTGGGGAAAGTATTCATTGCGTGTGCAAAGTTCCAGGACAGGAACTGCTGCTGGTTCCCTCTTCCTGAGTTCCAGCAGCTGGGAGGCACTTGCCTTGCCGGGCTCTGAATAACTCAAGCAAACAGGTCAGGCCAAAAGATCAGTTAGGCCAAGACTTGGGGTTCAGAGGTTTAGGTCAGAGCCCATAGACCCTCTGCAAGCAAGTTTCAGGGTGGCTGGGAGTGGGCGCAAGTCAGATGTCTTTGCACCCTTCTGGGTCCAGGATGGACCGGCTGGGTTAGAAGGCCAGAACTGAGAAATATTCCAGTGTAGTCAGGGCAAAGGGTAATTCTTGGTGCCTGACAGGCAGCAGCGTCAAGAGAGAGAAGGTTGTGGAAGATACTACTAGGGGTGGGTGTGAAGAAGGAAGTTTGTCTGTTGCCTGCTCTCGGCACTGATTACAGTGCCCCACACATGTGGGCACACCCACACACCCCAGCACAGTTCACGCTCCGTGGGTCCAGTCACCTTAGCTCTTTCCATCATGATGGCTGGTCCTTGTCACCTTTTTTTTTTAATTTTTTAAACTTAAATTAGAAAGAAACCTGTTTCATATGTCAACCCCAGCTCCCTCTCCCTCCCCTCTTGTCACCTTTCAAAGAGGTGAACTTGGGATCCAAAGGTAGGAAGGCAGACTATGATTCCATGGAAGGCCCCAGGAGGCTTGTTTAGTGAGATTTGGTTTTGGAATACAATAGTGAATATGAAAACACTTTGCAGACAGGGAGAGAGAGGCGGTGCATGTCCTGGGACCCCAATAGCTCCAGGATGAGGTGGGTATCAGAGCTGGTTATGGTTGCTCTCTGCTGGAGTTCCCACATAGGCAATCATCTGTCTAGGTAATGTTTGTTTGTGTTCTAGGAAGCCCAGGGCACCTGTAGTAACTGGGGTGGGGCTTCACAGGCTGGAGCCCCAGGGCCCAGGCTGCTCACCACCTGGCAACAGGGTCTGCTAAATATTTCAGAGTGGAAAGCTTTCTCCCCATTCCCCCCATCCTTGCTATCTGCATCCAGAATCCTGGCTGCATGGGGTAGGACAGGCTGATTACAGGTGCCCTGGGCAGCTGCTCAGGGGGCATTTAAGAATATAAACTTCCACAATGGGGTGAGTCATGGCCTGTAGGAGCTAGGCCTAGATGGTTTGAGGGAACGTTCCTATACCTTTGTGTTAGCAACCAGAGCTAAGCCTCATTTAGCTTGCAGTGTCCATCACCATGTGACATCTTGGATCATGGGGCCAGCAGGCAAGCACCGGGAAGACTTCTCAGTCCCTGTCCAGAGTTGCATGGAGGGAGAAAGGCAGAGATGAAGTAGCTGTAATAGGGAGGGCATCATGCCTGGTACTCTGTCTTCAGCCTGCAGCCTGGCAGATGCCTCTTGTCTCCTCCCAGATACTTGGGCGTCTGGCTGTGAGCTTTCGGGAACCATCTCAGAAGCTATTTTGGCATTTGTTGCCTCTAACACATTCCCTGTTATGATTAGTCTCCATAGTCAGCTTGATGGGATCTAGATTCACCTAGGGAAATAGCCCCTTGGCATGACTATGGAAGGATTCTCTTCCCTACTGCCCACCTCTTTTAAATGAGAGTCTTGCTGTGTAGCTCTGGCTGGCCTGGAACTCAATGTTTAGACCAGGCTGGCCTTGAACATACAGAGGTCTGCTTGCCTCTGCCTCTTGAGTGCTGGGATTAAAGGGGTATGCCATCATGTCCCGCTCTGGAGGATTATCTTAATTAGGTTAATTGAGGTAGGAAGATTTACCCACTGTAGGTAGCACCATTCCCTCGGCTGGGGCCCTAGACTGTATGAGAAAGTGAGCTAAGCATAAGCGTTTACTGTTCTTTGTTTCTTGACAGTAGAAGGAACATGATCAGCTGCCACCCCAACTTCTCTATTATGATGGACAGTGCTCTTGAACCTTGAGCCAAAATAAGCCCCCTTCCCCTCAAGTTGCTTTTGTTCAGGGTATTTTATCACATTGACAGAAAAAGAAACTAAGGCATCCCTACTATTGTCCTTGAGAAAGGCATCAGTTTGAAACTGTTTGCTGCTTGACTTCTTTTAACCTACACAGAAGATGGGTTACATGTTTAAATTGTTCAATGGGCAGAGACAGCAAAGCCAGGTGCAAGAGCCTTGTTTTGAAAAAAAAAAAATGCCAGGCATTGGTGGTGCACACCTTTAAACTCTGTGAGTTCGAGGCCAGCATGGTCTACCGAGTGAGTGCCAGGACAGGCTCCAAAGCAATATAGAGAAACCCATGTCTCGAAAAACAAAAACAAACAAACAAAAAAAAAGAGCCTTGCTCTGCCCATGACTTAGGGGGCATGCCCAGGGTAGCCAACAGGACCACAGGCTCTCATCTTCTGCTTCATGCTCATTGTACCCCACACAAATTGACAGACTCAGGGTATTGGCTCCTAAGCACTGTAACCTGGGGTTCCTTTTCCCAATGTTCTCACTGCCTCCCAGCCCTCTGCCATGTCTCTCTGTGTGGTAATTTCCACAGCCTCTCTCCCCGGGGTAGAGGGCTGCTGTTACTCATTCTGTAGAACTCACAGGAACTCAGACATCATCTCCAGGAAGTCAGCTCTAATCTGCTCAGCTTGTATTCTCAGTAGTTTACACATCTATTTCTGAAGCAAATACCAATGCCTAGATGTCCTAGGTCCTGTGTTAGGGAAAGACATCAGTGAGCAGATGCAGTCCTGGCCTTCACAGGTTTTCTTCTCTGGCCCCTGTGAGACACTTAGCTGACTGCTTTGTGGCTGCATTTACCATGTAGTTCCCTGCCAGACTGAGTTCTTACAGGTCCCTGGGCTCAGCACCTTGTAGATTCTCAGTGAGAGATGGATGGATGCATGCATGTGTGGGTAGATGAGTGAACAGATGGATAGTTGGGTGGATGGACGGTCATGAAGATGGATGGATGGATGGATGGATGGATGGATGGATGGATGGATGGATGGATGGGTGGGTGGGTGGGTGGGTGGGTGGGTGGGTGGGTGGGTGGGTGAGTGAGTGGGTGGGTGGGTGGATGGATAGATGGGTAGATAGATAGATGGATGGATGGATTGATGGATAGATAGATGGATAGCTTGGTAGGTAAATGGATGGAAAGATCGATTGCACCATAAATGGGCAAATGGGTGGATTGGTAGGTAAATAGGCAGATGAATGAGTGGGTGGCTCTAGTTTCCCTGGAAACGAGAATCTGTGTGTGAAACGCCTTTGGGGTCTAAGCATGGTGGAGCACTGATGCCTGTTTAGAACTTGAAAGTGGGTTACCTTGGCAGTTCTCCAACAGCTGCCGTTCCAGCAGGGGACACAGTGCAGGACAATAACTCTGTGTGACTTCAAGGAGAGACAGGTGGGTGTCATTAGCTGAGGAAGATGCCCTAAGCTACGTGATGGTCACGCCTTCATGTATAACCTGCCACACCATCCTGGCATCTGGCAGGGAGGTGAAAGCTTGGTTTGCTAGAAGCAGCCATCTTTCCCCTTCCCAGTCAGGCCTCTGGCATGCTGGCTGCTCACATGTCATTTGTCCTCTCTATCTTGGGTCTTTAAAATTTTAAGATACATTGCCTTTTTTTCTCCAAGTGAGCCCCAGGATCAGTGGCAAGGAGGTTGGAGCCAGAGAGATGAGGGACATGTGGGCTCAGGCAGATGGAGAGAAAAATGTCATGAGTCATGGTAGCAGCTGGCTGCCCCAGTTAGACCCCTAGAGGACCCGGCTCCCAGAAAGCTATTCCAAAGTTGGACACCCCAGCACTGGTCCCAGGATCACCTTCCCCCTGCCTGCCTGCCTGCCTCCCTCTTTAGAATTCTTCACCTCGGAAGAGAACATCTTCAGTCCTTCATTCAACTTAGTTACATTTAGCAAGCCTTCTCCGGTCTCCATTGCTAAGCCGGTGCTGGTTGTGGGGATCCACTTTGTCCTGTGCCATCATGTCCTATTCATGACAGCTCTTGTCCTGGTGGAGTCAAGAATTAAAGAGCCAGATGTGGTGTCGCTCACCTGTAATCCCAGCACTCAGGTGGCAGAGGCAGGTGCATCAAGGGTTCAAGCTCCGCCTTGGCTACATAGTGAGTTCAAGACCAGCCTTGGCTATGTGAGACTTTATGTCAAACAAACAAACAAACAAACAAACAAAAAACTCAAAGGATCAAAAGGAAGGTTAGACTAAAAGGCTTTAAAGTCCTTTGCAAAGTAGATATTCTAGTCCCTCTGCCCCCTTTTTCTCCACTGTAGAAGCTGATGGTAATTATTTTTCTGACACTGCTAGACCAGAATCTACAGAGAGAGACACCAAATGGTTAGGATGTAAAATCTTAGCTGTACACTGTCTTTTTCTGGTAACAGGGACTTAAGGACCTCCTCTGGTCAGTGTCTGAGCCGTGTGCAGGTCAGGCCTGACACTAGACCACAGGTCCCTGGATCAGACTGTGCAAATGCAAATGCAGGAGGCCTTAGAAGGTGGAAGAAGGCAAAGGGAGTGTAGGCGGGAGGCAGGGCTGGCACGCGCCATCCTCCCTGCTCTGCTGTCTGGCCTGTTTCTCTTCCTTTGCCCAGCGCTGAGATCAGGTTGCAAGGGAGTCACGAATGGTGAATGGCGGGAAGAAGGCTGTGTCCCTTTCTGGTCACTCGCCCTTTGAGAACTTTAAATAGCAGCCCTGCACCCACACATGCTTACCTCTGAAGAGGCAGCTTTGGTAACCGAAGGCAGAGGGCAGACAGATGTCTGGCTGGACTCTGGTGGGAACACAGGACCATGGGAGGACTCCTGTTTTGCCGGTCTCAGTCCTTGAAGGCACAATCAGCAGGCCTCCCTCCGCTCCTCCATCTACAGGGCCTTTTCTGATCTCCTTTTGGAGCTGGTGTTGTTCTTAGCTGTTTTCTCTGTAACTTGCCTCTCTCTTTAGGTGTTTACTAGAGCCATTTATGGCTCATGTCTGCCACTGGACTTAACAAAATTAGATCTTTGGTCTTTCTGAATCTTCAGTCCTTGGCCCAGGGCCGGGCACAGATACGCTGTGTGCCTGCCCAGTCACAGCCTTGTCTACTGGATTTACCTGGTGGTTCTCTCAGACCCCCGCACTGCTCCATGCTGTATGGCTGACCTACATCTGACTCCTCCATGAAGCAGCCCATTGTGCATTCAGCTTTGATCTGATGTCTGAGGTCTCCTGGCTCTCTGCCTTCCTCTTCTGGCCTGCAAGGACCCTGCCAGCTGAGATGCCAGTCCACAGCTCAGTTTACTGGGCCCTCAGGACCAGTGCTCATCTTGGCACTGAATTGGAGGGCAACTCTGGGTTCCCCTGAGTAGCTGGCAGCTGTTAGGTTTGTGCAGCTGTGGGAAGCAGGGAAGAGGGCTAGGGTCTGTGGGGCTCCTCAGGGTTTGGTTGTAGAAGCCACTTTAAACACTCCTGCAGTGGTTAATATAATTTTGTTAATGGAGACAAGAGGCTTTGCAAACTGTAAAATGCTGTGAAAAATTGTTAGGAGTGCTGGGAAGGTGGTCCCATCTTCCTCAAAGTGCTTGCTAGGTAAAACATGAGGACCTGTGTTCAAGACCCAGAACCCAGCCCCCCAAGCCCTCCCAAAAGCCTGGTGGTACACCCTTGTAATAGCAGTACTGGAGTAGGCAGAAACAGGTGGATCCCTGGGGTGCAGTAGCTAGGCCACCTGTGATAGGTGAGCCCCAGGCCACTGAGAGACCCTGTCTGGAAAAATAAGGTGAGCCAGGCATGGTGGCTCATGCCTTTAATCGTAGCAGAGGGTGGTCACTGCACATTCCAGACAAGCTCAGTTTACACAGTGAGTTCCAGGACAGCTGGAGCTATGTAGAAAGACCCTGTCTCAAAAAACAAAAACAAGCCAGGCGTTGGTGGCGCACGCCTTTAATCCCAGCACTCGGGAGGCAGAGGCAGGTGGATCTCTTTGAGTTCGAGACCAACCTGGTCTACCGAGCGAATTCCAGGACAGCCTCCAAAACAATACAGAGAAACCCTGTCTAGAAAAACCAAAAACAAAAACAAAAACAAAAACAAGATATATGGGCAGGCAAGATGTCTCATTGTGTAAAGAGGCTTGTTACACAAGGCTGATGTCCTGAGTTCAATCACCAGTACCCAGGAGGGTAGAAAGAGAAAACAGACTCCACGAAGTTATCTTCTGACCATCACGTATGCATAATGGCAGACACATTCCCACCCTCTAAACATGGTAATGATAAGCTTTTAACCATTCTTAACAAAAATAAATAACTAAGGTAGGAAAGGATGTGATGATGCATGCTTTTAATCCTAGCACTTAGGAGGCAGAGGCAGGGGGATCTCTGTGAATTCAAAGTCAGCATAGTCTACATAGCAGTCCCAGGTCAAACAGGACCACATAGTGAGACCCTATCTCAAAACAAACAAAAAGATAGAGGACACCTGAGAAACAACACCTATGGTTGACCTCTGACCTCCAGATACACACATATACCGCAGGTGGGGCTCTTGTCACTCACGGGGGTCATTTCCAGCCTGCTACTCAGCCAGGCTTTTTAACCTGTCCTAGTAGTGCCAGGTGGTGAAGGGTGGTGAGGCTTGGCCAAGCCGCCTCCCTTGGAGGAATGACACTGTCCTTTGGGCTGGCTGCTTCTGGTGGTTCTGAAGAGTCAGCCACGCCCTTCCCAGGTGACCTCAGTGCTTGCTCTTCTCTGGGGAACAGAGCTCAGCCTGAACCAGAGCTAACAGTCTACCCTGGGTCCAGGTCCAAGGTCGGAACTCACCCTCTGCTTTTTTCTCCACAGAGTGCCATGTACCGAGGCTCCGTCCATGACTTCCCAGACTTTGATCCAAATCAGGATGCCGAAGCTTTGTACACAGCCATGAAGGGCTTTGGTGGGTGTCAGCTATCCAAGAGTGGGTCCTACCGGGAGGAGGTGCATGGGACACAGCCGATCCACCCCACATGTGTCTAACCTCGAGCCATTCGCTAGTATTCTGTGGCTTTTCCTAGAGAAACATGAACAGACTTTAGTCTACCCAGTTAGGACACCAACAGCTAACCAAAGATACCATTCCACTCATCTAGTGTAGTGATATTCTGTTTGTGATCTAGCAAATAAAGTTTGCCTGAAGATCAGAATGCAAAGCTAGCCACACTAGTTAGCCATAGAGGTCAGGCAGTGGTGGCACACACCTTTAATCCCAGCATTTGAGACACAGAAGCAAACAGATCTCTGTTAATTCCAGGCCGCCCTGAGCTACATGAAATTGATCCAGTCTAAAAGAGACATGGAGCTCATACCAAGGTGATCTCAGCACTTGGGATCCCATACCTTTAATCCCAGAACTAGAGAGAAATATAAAGGCAGAGGGGACAGGAGCTCAGTGCAGTCTGAGGTTTGGTGGAGACAGAGACAGTCTGGGGAGCAGCGCAATCTGAGGGCAGAATCACCCCTGTGGTCTGAGCATTGGTAGAGGTGAGAACTCTCTAATGGCTGGCGGCTTTGCTTCTCTGATCCTTCAGCTTCCCGCCTTCCCCCAACTAATATCTGACTCCAAGTTTTTATTATAAGTACAATTAGAATTTGTGCTACAATCTACTTTGATGAACCAGTGAGTTTTTAGGGATTACCTTATAGAAGCATAGGAGACCCCAAAACAGCTGCATGACTGAAAAACCCAGTCTCTGGAAAGCTGCCTCCTTAGTGGCCACTGCCCAGCTTGCAGGCAGCTGCTCCAGAGAGGCTTCCCACTCCAGCCATTGTTACTGCTGTTATAAGCTTGGGAAGAGCCTTATGGCCCATGCATCAATCTGGACTTTCTGAAAAGGATAAGGTCCCTGAATATCTGCGCCTTGTAAATTTCATGAACTTCCAAGTCTTAAGAGCGGTCCTTCTTTGAGAGAAAGTCTCCTTTCCATGGAAATGGCAGCACAACAGCTGTTGGTGGGGGAGGAGCCTGGAATGTTGCAATGTGGTTTTGCTTTGTTTTGTTCCTGTTGCTAGGGATTGGACCCAGGACTTCATACATGCTAGACAAGCACTCTGCTTCTGAGCCATGGGAGCAGCTTATTTAATTATTGTCCAACCAAAAAGTGTGTGTGTGGTGATTCCCCTGCCTTTCTCTTTCTTCAGGGTGCCCACTGACCTGAATTTGTGCTTATTGCCACCTTTGCTTATCTGCAGTTGTTAGTATATATGCTGTTAGGACATCTGGGTTTTTCTGAGTCAAGTGCATTGTGAGGCCTTGTGAAAATCCTTACCTGTCTCTGTGCCTTGGTTTCTGTATTTGTACCGCAGAGAGTTCAATCAGGGACCCTTTGAGCTCAGGTGTTGTAAATACAATGACTCCTCTCTGTGGGGACCAGTGAGTTCTCAACTTTCCTAATGCTGTAACCGTTTAATACATAAAATTATATTACCTTGCTACTTCATAGCTAATTTTGCTACTATTACGAATTGTTGGTTTTTTGTTTTGTTTTGTTTGTGGGGGGCTTGGCTGTCTCGGAACTATAGACCAGGCTGGCCTTGAATACAAAAAGATTCGCCTGCCTCTACCTCTCAAGTATTGGGATTAAAGACATGTGCTACCCCTGCCTGGCAACTATTGTGAATTGTAATATAAATACCTTATACTCAGGATAGCTGACATGAAGGGTCTCGAACCACAGGTTGAGAACCACTGCTGTTGCCTCCTGTTTGAGAGCAGAAGATTTCTGCGGATAATTACAGGAGCTGCAAGGCCTCTGCCTGATAATGGAGGCAGTCCTGGAGGGCTTCCTGGAGGCAGGCTGGGCAGGGTGACAGTGTAACTGAGTGCAGTAGGCTTACATCTTGTTGAGAAAGTCAAAATAAGCAGTGGAGACCTGAGTGGAGGAAGATTTATTACCCAAGGCAGGCAAGAAGGCCGGCCAGTCATTTCCAAGCCAGCACCAAGCATGAACATTTTAATGCAAGTCCGCCCAGATTCACATAGCCGTGGTTCCATTCCTGAGTGAGCACGCGCTTGTGTTAGGAGTACAGTCCCAAGCATGCTCACTTTAAAGTGACATAAATGCCTCTGGGCATGCTCTGTTCGAACCATGAAGCTCGAAAGGACATTTTGAAAGTGCATTAACATGGGAGTCTGAACCTGAAGGCACTGTCTTGCTTTGTCACTAACAAGAGGTGCCCTCAACTCTCCTAGGCAGTGACAAAGAGTCCATACTGGAGCTGATCACCTCCCGCAGCAACAAGCAGAGGCAGGAAATCAGCCAGAGTTACAAGTCCCTCTATGGCAAGGTAAGCATGGCGACTAGAAGGCCGAGGGGGAAGGGAGCCACCACTTCCTGTCTTGTTATTTAGGATCCTTCCCTAGCATTCTTCTCCAACTCTGCCTTCATGCTGGCTCTTTTTCCTCTGCTCTTACTCGTCCTTCCGTCTCAGGCGTCATCTGTGTACCTTGGGCTGGGCAGGTGTTAGGCCTGCACTGAGAAAGCAGACCTGTGCCACGGTCACTCTCTTACACTCCCATATCCTAGGAAAGACAGACTCTGGAGCAGACGTGGGGGGGGGCAATGCTGAGGCCTTGAACCTGAGTGGCCCGCTTGCTGCTAGCTGCAACCTGGGGCAGTGGCCTGGAGTCTCTAGAGTTTTCTTTAAGAGGCCATGGATGACAGTGTCTCCTCCCAAGAGCTGGAGCCAGCAAGGCCACTAGCTAGGCCTCGGACTGGGCAGAGAAAGGGTTTACTTATCACTCCTTCCTACCACGGTGCTCCTCCATCCCCAGGACCTCATTGCAGACTTGAAGTATGAGTTGACGGGGAAGTTTGAGCGACTGATTGTGAACCTGATGAGGCCGCTTGCCTATTGCGATGCCAAAGAAATTAAAGACGCCATCTCGGTAAGAAGCATGGGTCTAAGTGTGCACTGGGGGTGCAGATGTGGGTGATAAGTTCTGGGCTTTGCCACAAGCTTGTGCTCAGCCCCTTCCCACCCAGCACGTGTGTCCTGCTTTAAGAGGCAGCCTGTCCCAGATGGGTTTCCTAGTCTTCTCCAGCCTGACAGATGTGGACAGATGTTAGGGAAATTTCAACCCTATAAAATGGGTACTTGGTTCTGATCTCCATGCCAAGAGTTATAGTCCTGAGAAAGTGGAGACAAATGCTGTCCAACACACTAGAAGCTGAGGGCACAATAAAAACTAATTATTGCAAGAGGACCAAGTTAAACCCAGAAGTCTGCAGAGGCTCTGGTAGGTAGGAGTGTTGCAGCCTGGGGGCTGTGTGTTCGGGTATGAGCAAGACTTACCTGCTTAAGGCAGAGAGATGCCCTCTAGGAATAGGGACAAGAAGCCCTTGATTAGTATGGTAGTGCAGGCTAGCAATCACAGCACTGGGGTGTGGAGGCAAGAGGATGATAAGTTTGAGGCCATAGCCTAGATTATAGAAAAGACCCAGAAAAAGTAGGGGTGGGGGGGGCACTGGGAAGGTGGCTCCATAGGTAAGTGCTTGCTATTGCAAGCATGAAGACCTGACTTCAAACCCCCCATAAAAGCCAGGGACCGGTAACCCTTGTGTTGTTGGAGTGGGAACAGGTGATCACCAGGGCCTACTGGTTAGTCAGTCTAGCCAAAACAGCAAGCTCTAGGTATAGTAACACCTGTTTGAAAAACTAAAATGGAGAGTGATAAAGAAGACACCTGAAGTTAACCTCTGACCTCTGCTTGCATATACTTTTGTGTGTGTATATACACACAAAGCCCCCCGATTCAGGGTGTGTGACTCAGTGGTAGAATGCCTGCTTTAAATCTCTGGGTTCCATCCCTAGCCCCTAAAAAGTATACACAGAGCCCTTGATTATACCTGGCACTTTACAGTTTATAAAGTCTATGACCTTTGCCATCATTGAGTTCCTACACATAGATTCAATTCATGAGTGGATACACTTGACCATGTGAGAATATACTACCTTTCCAGCCAGCCTTAGAGTTTAGCGCAACAAAGAGCTTTCCTAATGTATAGATGAGAAAGTTGTGGCCAGAAAGATGGCATCATTGTTGTTGTTGCTGAAGGTTTTATAAATGTTCATTTTATGTACAAAGTGCTAGCATGCTTCCTCCTTTGGGTAAATTCAAAGGTCACTCAGTCTGACTTAATGAACACCATGTTCTCTAGGTATGGAACTCTGGCAGGGCACATACTCTGTTTTCCCCTCAGGCTGTGAGGATTTGTTCAGGAATGACAATTCTGGTATAATCTCTGCTGTCAACTTTACTGTTCCAGCAAAGTTGCTAATGGCCCATCTTGCTTTCAGTGATGATTCTAGGAGGAAAAGAATGCAGGATTGTGTTGATTTCTGAATTTTTATTTAGTTATTGAGTCAGGGTATCATGTAGCCCAGGCTGGCCTTAAACTCCTAAGCCTTCTGCCTCTATCTCCCAAGTACTGAGACTCGAGCTTTGTGCCTACCAAGCCTGGCTTTATGCAGTGCTGGGTCGAACCCACACCCTTATTGCATGCCAGGTAAGAATTATACCAACTGAGCCACATCCTTAGTCCTAAGATTACTCATCTTAATGAGAAGCCATGAGAGTTGCTGTACAGGTGGGACTAGAACCCATGCCTGGAGTTTTAGGATGACATCTCCCACATGATGTTTAAAAGCTGAGCCAAAGGCACCATGACTGCAGGAGGTGTCATAGTCATAGCTCAGGCTGCTCCAGGGTCCCCTTGTGGCTAAGGCTTCTCATTCTGCTCTACCCAGCATGTTCCTTCTCTCCTTCAGGGCATTGGCACAGATGAGAAGTGCCTCATTGAGATTTTGGCTTCCCGGACCAATGAGCAGATGCACCAACTGGTGGCTGCATACAAAGATGGTGAGATGGGCAGGAAGAATACGCAGATTGCAAGGGTGGGGACATTAAGAGTAACTATCTGGGGGCTGGAGAAATGGCTCGGCCATTAAGGGCACTGACTGCTCTTCCAGAGGACCTGGGTTCAATTCCCAGCACCCACATGGCAGCTCACAACTGTCTGCAACTCCAAGATCTGACAGCCTCACACAGACAGACATACATGCAGGCAAAACATCAATAGAAATAAATTATTTTTAAAAGAGTAACCATCTCCCTTCCCTCTGACCTATCCATCTCTCTAACCATCTGTTATCCATCCACTCATCCACCTATCCAGCCATCCTTCCATTCATCATCACACTACCCACCCATCTACCATCCCTCCATCCAACATATATCTGTCCTCTCATACATCCACCCAACATCCATCCATTCAACACCCACCTATTCATCCATCATCCATCAACCCATCCACCTACCATTCATTCATCTTCCCATCTATTTACCCATCATCCATTCACTATCCATCAACCCATTAATTACCATTCATCTATTCATCTATCTACCCATCATCCATCTACCCACTTACCCATCCATCCATCTGTCCATCCATTTACCACCTACCCATCCACCCATCCTTCTATCCATCATCCACCCACCCATCTATATACCATTTATCCATCTAACGCCAATCTATCTTCCTGTGCATACACTCATCAATCCATCTATCCACTCACTCATCTATCCATCTACTCATCCATATCAAACTTCCCGTCTATATATATCTCTCTATCCACCATCCATGCTGTCAGTACCTGTTCTATACTGGACAGTGTACAGGTTCTCAGCAGATGGTGATAAATAAAAACAATGTGGTCTCTGGTATCTGGAACTTGGAGCCTTGTGAAAGAACCATGAATCTCAGAGAAAAATAATGATGACACAGAGTGGTCAGATTTTACAAAAGAAATGAACAAGAACTAGACTTTCCCAAGATAAGACCTTTGTCAGAAAACCTATCTTAGGAGGAAATGAGCTTGTTGTATGGAGAATGGGATGACAGATGGTCCTTCTGGCAGAGGGACAGCAGTATATAAAGTCTTATGCAGAAGTGAGTTAGGTGGCCCAAATAAGGCTAGAGAGGTAGAGGGTGGGTTAGCATCACAGCAGACTTTGTAGCCAAAAGAGCACTGATGTTTTACTCAGAGTCCAGTGACAAGTCAGGAGTATTGCAATCAGATATGAACTTTGTGACAATTGCCTTGTCATTGTGGGTAGAAGAACCCTCTGTCCAGGTGAGGATGATGATATGGTGGGATGGAAGGGGATGGAAGTAGGAAGAATCCATTTCATGTGTCCCAGTCCTAGCAGCTGTGAAGAGACAGTTGCCATGGTAGCCATTCAGATTGGATTGGGGTTTATAAAAAAAAAAAGCTAATCATGTGGGGGGAGCAAAAGACCTCTGTTCTGGATCCCAGAGGCTTTGGGGGGGATGAGACTAGAGCCCCTGTGTTCCTTCTACAGCCTATGAACGAGATCTGGAGTCTGACATCATGGGAGACACTTCAGGCCATTTTCAGAAGATGCTGGTGGTACTGCTCCAGGTAGGTCTATGTGCAGACATATATCCTTTTCTACAGCTCTCCTCATGAGAGCCACAGGTTCCTTTCACTGTTTCTCAAAAAAAGCAGCCTAAGATGACTTCAGGGTATAAGGCTTTCCTGTAGGCTGTGTCTTCTTTACTGCCCATCCCCATTTGTTTCATCCTTTGGAGCCCAAGAGGCCACTCTGAAGCCCAGGCTTTGTCCCAACACTCTGCTTTACACAGGGCTTATGCCCTGTGGAGAGCCAAATGCCTCATTCACAGCATCCTTCCCCTCCTTATGTACGTCAAACTCCCTTCTGGACCTTAGAATTCAAGTCCCAAATCCTCATGGGTAAATTCTTGGTTTAGGAGGATGAGAGACCACAATATTAGCACACAAATATGCACTTCTAGCCTGAACGTGATTGTATGCCTAGATTTCCAGTGCTCAAGAGGTAGAGGCGAAAGGATCAGTGTAAGTTCTAGGCTACCTAGTCTACGTAGTAAGTTCTGGGTCAGCCAAGGCTACATAGTAAGACCCTGTACCATCCTTTATCCCTTGGGCATTATTGTCATGAAGTGACCCGGAGAGTGCCAAGACCTGTGGCCTTGCTATCTAGAGCTCTGTCTTCAAAGTACAGGACTTTTGTCTGGGGTGGAGGTACCAGGAGAACCTCAGTCATTCCCAGGGCTCCTGTTTGGTCAGGGAGAGGCTTCGTACAACTCTACAAAATAGACACTGGGAATTTCTCCTGTTCAGTCACTCTCCTGGGCCTCACCTTGGTACCATATATTGGAAACACACTCCTTTGTCTTTCCATCCAGGGAACCCGAGAGAATGACGATGTTGTGAGCGAGGACTTGGTGCAACAGGATGTCCAGGTAAATGATGCTGATGGAGGTCTCTATGACCCAGGCAAGAGCCTGATGGGAGGGGAGAGGTCAGAGGCCTTGGGGTGGGGTAGGGATGAAGTCTTTTGTATCAAGCACCAGAAGTCCCTGAGTCGGTGTGGTTTTCATCGGGTTTCATCAGAGAAAAGATGTAGGCTTCTTTCAGGGGTAGCGAGTGTGTTGGAGTGAAAAGGTAGCCTGTGTTTAATCCCCAGCACCCATGTAAAAAGCTGAAGACACCACCTCAAAAACAAATAAGGTGGACAGTTCCTGAGGAACAACACCCGAGCTGACCCTCTGACACCCCTCCACCCTCCACACACACACAGAAAGAGGAAACTATGGGAGCTATGGAAAGGAAGAGAAGGAAAGAGCATTCATCTAACAGACCACGGGGGTATTTGTGGAAGAAGGAGGCATGTCTGATCTGGGCAGTGAAGGCTGAGTGACAGCTTCCACAGAAAGGAAGACGGGAGTGTGCAAAGGTCAAGAGGTCACCAGAAACTTGAGGATCTGGCAGCTGTTCAGAGTGGCTTAGCCAGTGTGTCCTGTCTCCTGGGGTTTGTCCTTTCCTACGTCTCACTTCTTCCTTCTCAGGACCTGTACGAAGCGGGGGAGCTGAAATGGGGAACAGACGAGGCTCAGTTCATTTATATCTTGGGAAATCGCAGCAAACAGCACCTCCGCCTGGGTGAGTTCCCAAACTGTGACACCTCCTCAGGTGACGCCGAGAACCCCTTTCTCTACTCTTTTCTACTGATGGTACTGAAGCCACTTCATCTCCAAACCAAATACTAGTCCTGTTGTGGGTCGTGTAGTTCCTCACCTGAGTCACTACCAGGTCAGTACTAACCCTGTCTCAAGATACAGTCCTGCACAACAGAAAATGACAGCTGTGTCACCTCCCAGCCACCACACCCTAGACTTCCGCTAGCATTTGACTCTTGGCTATCTTGTCATCCCCTTCAAAAGTCTCTGTTCTTTTTTGTTGTTGTCATGGCAACATTGTTAGAGGTCATGTCTGTCTGTCTTTCTCAGTGTTTGATGAGTATCTGAAGACCACGGGGAAGCCAATTGAAGCCAGTATCCGAGGGGAGCTGTCTGGAGACTTTGAGAAGCTGATGTTAGCCGTAGGTATGTACTGGGGGCCACAAAGGTGTCTGGGATGTTATCCCAGAAGTAAGGGCATAGGAATGAAAGGGATTTCAATGGGGTGGAGTTAGAATATAGAAGAGCAGGTGGTAGAGGCTTATTCCAGCAGCATGGCTGAGGCTGGGGATGGGAAGGAATTCAGCCTTACATATTAATGTCCTGTGTGATAAGGGTGGAAAACACCCACCTCAGGTTGAGATAATAGTCATCAAAGACCTTGGAGGGTCTTCTTGCCAGGCACCACGCTGTATTAAGTCTTTAGAAGCCAGGTCCTAACACCACCATCGCCATTTAGCAGATGAAGAAACTGGGTTGCATAGAGGCTGAGTCCCTTGTCAAGGAATGGCTTTGTAATGGATCACAGTTTCCTTGATTATAGGATAAGCTAGGAGCTGATGAGTCCAGATTCAAACCCCGGACCTCTCCCTGGTATCCCACTCAGCTGGAGTAGGCGTTTTTAACCACTGAGCCATCTCTCCAGCCCCCTTCCTTCCTTCCTTCCTTCCCTCCTTCCTTCCTTCCTTCATGAGGCAGGATCTCCTATATCCCACGCTGGCCCCAACTCACTGTGTAGCCAAAGATGTCCTTGAATTTCTGATCCTCCTGCCTCCATCTCTAGAGTGCTGGGATTTATTGAGTGTGCATCACTCCCAACCACACACACACACACACACAGACACACACACACACACACACACACACACACGGGCGCACATGTGCGCGCACTTCCCTTGTGTTTAAAGCTAGAGGTACTCTGAGGCTGAGGGCCATCAGAAGCCAGGAGTCTTCCTGCCTTTGAACTTGGTGGCCCCCAAGAGTTAGGAACAACTGGTAGCACACAGGTGCATGCAATCCCATCACCAGGGAAGGCTGGGGTAGTAACACTGCAAGTTTAAGGCCTGCCTGGGCTACAAGAGGAAATCTGAGGCTAGCCTGGGCAATTTAGCAAATATTGTTTCAAAAATAAAAAGTAATGAAAGAATGTGGGACATATCTCAGTTGTGGGGTAATTCCAAACACATCCAAGGCTAGAGAAGGAGGGAAGAGAAGTGGGAGGGAAGGGAGAAGGGGAGGGAACTATTCCTGATCTCCCCTTCCCTCTTTTTTTTTTTTTTTTTTTAGTTAAGTGCATCCGCAGTACCCCGGAATATTTTGCTGATAGGCTATTCAAGGCCATGAAGGTATGTACTGGGTTAGTGGGAATGAGGTTGAGGGAGAGAAACTTCTGCCTACTCCCTCAACACTGCCGGAATTTTACGAAATCCTTGGTGTCCAGAAAGAGCCTGCTGTGGTTTGATTTTTGCTGCTGTGATAGAATACTGTGACCAGGGGTGGAGTAGGGTGGGGGGTGGACAAGATAACAAAAAAGATTCTGACCAAAAGCAACTTAGGGAGGAAGGGATTTATTGGCTTACCCTTCTGTCCATCACTGAGGACAGTTAGGACAGAACTGGAGATCATGGAGGATGCTGCCTGCCGGCTCACTCGGGTTCATGCCGGCTCACTCGGGTTCATGCCGGCTCACTCGGGTTCATGCTCAGCTAGCTTTCTCATATAGCCCCGGGCCACCTGTGTAGGAAGTGGTGCGTCCCACAGGGGTTAAGAGCACTGGCTAAGCCGGGCGGTGGTGGCGCACCACTTTAATCCCACCTGCACACATATGGCGTACATACAAGTAGATACATAAATATAAGTAAAATAAGTCTCTGAAAAATTTTAAATCATAAAAATAAGTAACAAACTAGAATATTCCTATATCAAACCACTTTAGAAAACACCTTGGCGTCTGTCCTCCACAATCATAATGCAGGTCATTGTGACTAGGCAGCTGGTTTCCCTCTAGGTGAGTTCCAAAGGACGGCCTTTCCCAGGGTTTCTTCCATATGACACCGATGATACCTGTGATAATTCCATGACACATTGAAGTAAATGAATATTTGCTGTGAGAGATTTCAGAGCATAGATTGCCCGGCCCTTCTTGGCTACTCCAAGAGTGCAAGGCAGATAGATGGTCAGACATTCCCCCATGAGTACTGCCCCTCATGCCCTCGTGTCCTCCAGGGCCTGGGGACTCGAGACAACACCCTGATCCGCATTATGGTCTCCAGGAGTGAGCTGGACATGCTTGACATTCGGGAGATCTTCCGTACTAAGTACGAGAAGTCCCTATACAACATGATCAAGGTGAGTGGGTGGTGGGGAGGGGGGAGGGGAGCTCTTCTACAATCACCACCTTGGTCTTGGGAACCTCTACATAGGAGCATATGGGTCTTGGGCATCCCAAGAGCTCTTGCTTTAGGGCATTTCTGCAGAAGCACCAGGGTAGCTGGTAACAGGAGCAACTAGAAAGGAAGGCATGGAGCCTGGAGAGATGGCTCAGCTGTTAAGAGTACTGGCTGTTCTTCCAGCCAGGTTCAGTTCCCAGCACCCACATGAGGGTTCACAACTATCTATAATTCCAGTTCTAGGGGATCTAATGCCTTCTTCTGGCCTCCCAGGCACTGCACCCATATGGTATACATACATACAGGCAAACAGCTATATATACATGTAAAAATAAATAAAACTTTAAAAAGTAAGACTTGGCTGGATCCTACAGGGCTTGTAAATAGATTTAAGGGCCAGGATGCTGTCCCAAGAGCAGGGGCTTTCCACAGTCTCTGCAGAGAAGTTCATTGAAGACCACAAGTGAGTATTAATTAGAGAACCCTGGAGCCTGCTAGGTGATTAGTGCTATCTCAGGGGTGGCCATCCCATGAGGCCTTACCAAGAGATCATCAGACGTAGTAGTTTTATAAGCCAACAGAGAAAAAGATCCAATTTGTACTCCTAAATGGTGCCCAACAAGGATTTTTATGAGTGCCATGCACTGGACATCCCATGGAGAAATAAGTTTGCAAAAATCTAGAAAAATCAAGGATGCTGTTGCACAGGGTCTTTACCTTGGAAATTCTCATAACTGCTAATATTTTGAGGTCCATTCCAAAGCCTCAAGGGATAAGACATCTATCTCATCATGTGGCTTGATCAAATATTTGTTTCACTTTGAGCGTTTTCCCATGGGTTTGTTCATGGACCTGTACTTCCATGAAATGTTTCCCTTGGATGTGCTGCACCTGGGACAGTGGAATGCCAGGGCCATGGGAGAACAGCAAACATCTGGGAATCCCATTAATGAAGTCAGTATAGCAATGAATTGTTATTACTGGAAGTATTTATACCTCAGGAAATGTGACAAATGACATACTCCAGAGACTTGTTCCTTCCTGTCTTTCCCAGTGAGCTGATTGCTGGATAGTGACCGGCACTGCACTGTTTGGTGGCCTCAACCACTGCAGGCAGGAGGAGAGGCAGGGCTGGTGTGAGTGAGTGTTCTGCACCACCCTCCAAGAAGAGACAGGGCTGTGCTTGAGGTCACCTTTCCTCCTCTTTCCCCAGAATGATACCTCTGGTGAATACAAGAAGGCTCTGCTGAAGCTGTGTGGAGGAGATGATGAGTAAGTGGGTTCCGGGCCCAGGATGGAAGGATGACCTGACTCTGCTGGTGACCGTCCCTAGTGGACGGGCAGATTGAATGAGCTTTCGTCTCCTCTGAGACTGGCATGCCAAACGAGGATGAATGTGGCTTTCGTCATTCCGGTCTCTGCTGTCTTGGGGTCTGTGTGTCTGAACAAGTGCGGTCTACTATTCGTGGAACCCTCTGCTGTATGAACTTGGAAGTCAGTCTGCTATCTGGACCAAGAATTAGAACTTGGGATTTAAGCTGGGCATGGTGGCACATACCAGAGGCAGGCAGATCTCTGTGAGTCCATTCTGGTCTATGTAACAAATTCCAGGCCAGCTGGGACTGCATAGTGAGACCTTGTCTCAAGAAGTGAAAGGAGAAAAAAAAAAGAAGTGAAAGGAGAGAGATAGGACTGGAGAGATGCCTCAGTGGTTAAAAACACTAACTGGTCTTTCAGAATTCCCATCAACCACATGATGGGTCACAACCATCTGTAATGAGATCTGGTGCCCTCTTCTGGCTGGCAGAGGTACATGCAGACAAAACACTATATACATAATAAGTATTTTTTTTATGAAAGGAAGGGGAAGCTGGGAGGAGAGGGTCTTGAGAAGCCACCTCTGAGAAGGCCTGGTGATGAAGACTGGCCTGGCTTCTTTCTGTAACTGCCAATGTATTCTGTGGATAGCTGGGGAAGAGTCGAGGTGGCAGGTGGGCTACAGAGGCCCTTCCTGGAATATTAATCTATGTCATGACATGACCAACTCTATACCAAGAAAATTGTGGGTGCTTTGACTTCCTTCTCCAGGGTTCAGTGACCAGTTAAGGAAGGGACATGAAAGCTTTCTGTTGACTATGCTCAAGCCACAGAGGCCACAAATATCCCATACCACACACACAAAGAGATATGGGAGTTTTGAAGCCATATCCTGCCCTTGGCTTATTTGAGAGGTGATTTGGACAAAAGTCACCCATGTTATTAGGAAGAAAGAGGAGATGAAGGGACTCTTCTACTTGGATCTGAGACCAACGAGGCTGCTAGGAAAAACTCCACTGCCTAAGTTAGGGGGATCTCAAGGGAGGACAGAGAATCACTGGACTAGAGGGTCCTTTAATGGACTCATACTGGAGAAGAAATAAAGCCAGATAGGTTTGTGTTGGGGTTAGGTGTGTTCGTGCATGCGTATTAGGGTGTACATTGTGATGTCACCAAGTGTTCCCGAGTGTCTTTGTGTTAGAATATATGTGGTATCTCACCCTATGTTGTTTGCACGTATGTGTGTGTGTTGATTACATGTGTGTGTTGGGCATAAGACTGTTCTGGAAGCGTGGAGTGTTGCCCATGATGACATTCCCTCCCATCCTCTCACCGAACCCCTCCCTTCCAGTGCGGCTGGCCAGTTTTTCCCGGAGGCAGCACAGGTGGCCTATCAGATGTGGGAACTTAGTGCAGTGGCCCGAGTCGAGGTCAGACCCTCCCCACTTCCTGCTTGACCTCTTGACCACTGGCTTTCACTTGTGCTTGCACCTGTCCCGCGAAGCTGGTTGGCCCCCAGCTGCCCCCTGGTGGCTAACCTGAGCTGATGCGTCTTACACCTGAAGCTTCCAGATCCCTGCCTTGGTTCTAATTGCCCGGAAGTGTTCTGCCTGCTCTCTACTAACAGGGCTTTCTCCAGTGGGACTGGGCTGGTTCCATGGGAGCCTCTGCATCCTGGGCCTGGCAGCTGGGCTTCACATACTGAGCTGCCCTCAGTAAAAACAGAGGGTACCCCTGGTCATATTACTAAGGCTTCAGGGATGTTCTCCTGAGCACCCTCACACTTGGGGGTTCACAGAGGACAGGATGAGAGGTTTCACAGAGGCTCCTGGCAAACCAGTCTAGACACTGTTGGGTCCTCACCCTTCTGGTGGCATCTATGCCTGAACCTTTCGAATGAGGGGCTTATCCATGGCAGTCCTGGTGACCTAAAGGCTCTTGAACACTGATGTTCTAGTCTTCCCTAAATTCGAAGGCAAATGCTAGCACTCAGGAGAGCTCAGGTGAAGAATGAGCTTGGCTTGGCAAATGGAGGTGCAGGCATTAATTAACACCCAGCATCACAAAGACCATCTCCTCCTTTTCAGTTCCACCAGCCTTTCTGATAAGTAAATAGAAATCGCCTTGATGCCACATTGGTGCTGTGCGAGCTGACTACCCTTTTACACAGAGAGCCGGGGGAGCTGGCCTCAAGTCCAGTACTTCTGGCAAGGCTTGATACTACATCTGTGTTGTAGAAGCCGGCTGCCCTTTTACACAGAGAGCCTAGGTCTTGGCAAGCAATAACATCTTAGATTTGGTGGCCTTTAACCTGAACGGGGGCAGGCAATACATTTATTTTTATGGGTGATCATGTGTTAATGAAATAGGATACATTCTCCCTAGTGTGAAATGGTATATAAAGTATAAAATAATTTTTTATCTCAAAGCTGGGGAATATAGCTCAGTAGTAGAATATGCTCCTGGCAAGAGTGAGGCTTTCAGTTTAGTTGCCACCATTGAAAAATATTTTTATTAATTTGTTAAGTATTTTTTAAATGTTATGTGTCAGATACTTGTTTGCATAAGAGAATATAAAAAGTATATACAAAAGTATAGGCATGGTGGTACATGCTTTCAAACCCAGTACTCAGGAAGCAGAGACAGATCTCTATAAGTTTAAGATCAGCCTGGTCCGTTTAAATGCACTTCAAGGTAAATCTGTCGGGGCTGAGATTTTGCTTAGTATGTCAAGCACCCCTCCCCCAAATTATTCTAATTAAAACTGTTTAAGCAAAGATCGGGCATGAAAATGCACACTTTAATCCTAGCATTCAGAGAGGCAGAGGCAGGCAGATCTCTGAGTTTGAGATCATCCTGGTCTCTTTAGGGGATTCCAGACCAGGCAGGCCTACTTAGTGAGACCCTGTCTCTACACAAAATAAAACAACAGTAAAACCCAAAAACTATTGAAGCAAAAAAGAAATAATTAAGAAAGAGCAAATACGGGAAACAGCATGAATGTCACTGAGTGATGACTAAAATTTGGAAACTATTTCGCTTCTGAGTGTTTTGCCTCCTTACTGAGGAACCATGGCTACACTAGGCATCAGGTCACCAGGGCAGGGTGGCTGGGATACTGAGGGGCCCCAGCCTCTGGAGCTGAGACTGAGCCAGGAGCTGCCCACTTCTCTGTCCAGCACTCACCTCTCCCCAGGCCTGAGACTCTCTGCTCTCTCAGCCCTGGGTGGGCTTTGTCCGCTTGGCCTCCTTCTCCAGGCTGCTTGGCTTGGGACTCAGCCTGGAAAGCCCCTGACACTCTGCATGCTCTTCTCTGGACCTGGCTCCCCAGGGGCCCCCAGACACCTGCTGAACCTCTTTCCCCTCCTCACAGCTGCGGGGTACCGTGTGTGCAGCCAATGATTTCAATCCGGATGCTGATGCCAAGGCCCTGCGGAAAGCCATGAAGGGGATTGGTAAGGATGACAAGGACCAGAGAAGGCCTGCAGGCAGCAGCCTGGCAGACTTGGCAGTAAGGGGCTAGGGAGGAAGCCTCCAGCTAGACTCTGCAGGATGAGGAGGAGTGTATGGGAGCTCCCTCCACCTCAGGTGGGAGAGAGGGATAGAAGAGGGTTTGAATGAACTTGAACTGGGTTCTTCCTGGACACCTATGTGTCCATCCTACAGCTTCTGAGCAGGCTCCTGGTGTGGAAGAAAGTACTGGTCATTGAGCATTAGGTATTGACCCAGTATGACTCTGAATAAGTCATTAAACAGCTCTGGGACTTGCTTTCCAGCTTGTAAAATGAGGTCCTTTGATTTTTAAGAACCCAAACTCCAGTGCTGGGGTGAGAGCACCTCAGTTGTTGACCCTTCTAGGCTGTGTTTGCTGACTGTAGGAAAAGCCACTGCATAAGGGGACAGTCAGCTGTCTGTACTCAACTGGGCCTGTGCTTGGAAAGCCCTTGCTGGGAGGGAGAATTGGCGGCAGGTGCTTCTGTTGTCCTTTCTCCTTCCATATGCCCAGCAGCAACTCCCAAGGGGTCCTGCACCTCCTGGGTCTCAGTGAGTTCTTCTCATGAGACTAATGCCTGCCTAGCATCTTTATGACTGTGAGACTACAGGGGCAAATGCTTTGATCCCCGTGCCAGACCTGACAGTCTGGAGGTACTGTCCTAATGCCTTCAGCCAGCCTGGTATGCTTAGAGGGCTACCTAGAAGCCACAGTCAAGGAGTTGAAGACAACTGTGCTGAAGTTACAGGTTGGAAGGGTCCTGTTCATGTTAGAGATGTGGAAAGAGTCCCAGAAAGAGAAAGGGATCTTCCCAAGGTAGGCAGCCATTGCCAGAGCCAGGATTCGATACCCAACCTATAACTGCCACCCCAACTGCCAACTAGGTGCTCATCACCCAGTGCCTGCCACCTTCCTGGTTGTAGTTTTATCTCATTCAGTGGCATGACAGAGCCTAGGGCAAGGAGCCCACAGGGGCCAGGAGCACCTGGCATCCGACCCAGGCCTTTACCCTGACAAAGATTGATGGGAACTATCAGTGGGGGGGATGCTGGGAAAACTGAGCCACAGAACCTCCTCTGAGGCATGTGGGTTTGGTGACCCAGGAACTGACGAGGCCACCATCATCGACATCATCACACACCGTAGCAACGCCCAGCGGCAGCAGATCCAACAGACCTTCAAATCTCACTTTGGCCGGGTAAGAGTCCTTCCTCCCTAATCTTGGTCTGGCCTCCTAGTGAAGCTCAGCCTGTCACTGCCAGCTCTGTACAGTTAGGCACCAGGGGTTTCATGGTAATGAGACCACCACCTGGTTGTGGCATCTTGGAATGTTCTGCCCTTAGGTCACTCTGTGTCCCAGGTTTTTTTGTGATCAGTGAGTGATATGCATGTGAGATGCCTTGGTGGAGACAAAGTCAAAGATGGTGACAGTTTCTGTGTGGATCTGAGACTAGTGTGACCTTGGTTCTGACCTTGCAGGATTTAATGGCCGACCTGAAGTCCGAGATCTCTGGAGATTTGGCAAGGCTGATCCTGGGGCTCATGATGCCACCAGCCCATTATGATGCTAAGCAGCTGAAGAAAGCTATGGAGGTACCGTGCACATACTAGAGGATGGGGGTAGGGGGTCCTGGTACTCAGGGTCAGAACTGCAGTGGTCATGTCTTTGTGTGGGCTTTCTAGGGAGCTGGCACGGATGAAAAGACTCTTATTGAAATCCTGGCTACTCGGACCAATGCCGAAATCCGGGCCATCAATGAGGCCTACAAGGAGGGTGAGTGTGGGAGGGCCGGCCCAGTGCTGCTGGGCAACAGGGAGTACCCCAGCTGTCAGTATCAGGCCATAACTCTGACCTGCTGCCTCCATGAAGCTTTGTGTGTGTGTGCAGGGATATATATGTGTATGGATGGAGACTAGGGTTCAATCTCAGGTGTGTCTTCAGGTACCATCCACCTTGTGTGTATGTGTGTGTGTGTGTGTGTGTGTGTGTGTGTGTGTATGCGCGTGTATGCACGCATGTGCATACACATGCATGTGTAGGTCAAAGGACGACTTGTGGGAATCAATTCTCTTTCTACTGTGTGGGATCCAAGAATTGAATCATCAGGACTGCTTGCAACAAGCATCCTAACCTGTTGATCTGTCATTGGCCTCAACTTGCTTTTTGAGACAGGGTGTCTTACTGGCCTAGGGGTTGCCAGTTTGGCAAGGTTGATGGCCAAGGAGCCCCAGCCTCATTTTTCCCCTTACCAGCTGTAGGATGACAAGTATGCACTCCCATGCCTGTTTTGTCTTTGAAATGTGGGTCTGAGGATCCAACTCAGGTCCTCATGCTTGTGTGACAAGCCCTTTACTGACTGGGCTGTCTCTCCGGCCCTTCTATGGGGCTTTAGCAAGTCTCTTAGTGTGCCCTGCATCTAGGGAAAGTTGGCTGTCCCAAAAGAGTAGTCCTGGTGGTAGATAATTTAGATAGAATTCGGGGAACAGAGAGAGCATTTAGCCTGCTAATGAAAGGGAGTCTCTCCTGACTCGTTGTACCCTACACTACTATTGTCTTCAGATCCTTAAGCTTTGATCAAGTGGTCCTGGATTTTCATTCTGAAACGCTATGGCTTCTGGTCAGACCTAGGAACAGCTTTTCTCTTGCAGGGCTTTGAGACAACAGTCATTTTAAGTGGGGGAGAAGTCGCAGATATACTTTGGGGTTCAGTGGCTGCTGTGTAGCAGGGATGGTGGAGAGTAAGGGAAAAAAGGGAGGTTTCACTGGAAGGTGTTGAGGGCTGGGGGAATAGCTCTAGATCCCTGCCTAGCATGCATAAGGTCCTGGGTTCAATTCCCAACAATGCAACAAAATGAATGGATAGTGAATGGGAGAGATGGGGAGCTGGCACAGGAGTATGGAGGGGTAGGTACCAATGCCAGCTGCCTCCTGAAATCAGCAGGAAGACGGATGCCTTAAGAACTGATTGCACACTCCATCCCTACCTCTCCTGCTGACATGGCCCTGGCTCGGGTGTGACTCTCACTATCCAAGCCCCCCAGCCTGCAGCTGCTCACACCTTTCTTCCTATCTCAGATTATCACAAATCCCTGGAGGATGCCCTGAGCTCAGACACATCTGGCCACTTCAGAAGAATACTCATTTCTCTGGCCACGGTGAGTGAATTCATGGTTCCGACGCCCATTCATCCGCAGAATCCACCCCCTTGCCTCCTCAGGGATCCACCTCAAAACTCTCTGTTGTTCGCCTTTTTGTTTGTTTTGTTTTGTTTTGTTTTTTGGTTTTTCGAGACAGGGTTTCTCTGTGGCTTTGGAGGCTGTCCTGGAACTAACTCTTGTAGACCAGGCTGGCCTCGAACTCACAGAGATCCGCCTGCCCCTGCCTCCCAAGTGCTGTGAGAATTCCTTTTTTCTTTTTTTTTTTTTAAGATTTATTTATCATATATACAGTGTTCTGTGTATGCATCCCTACAGACCAGAAGAGGGCACCAAATCTCGTTAGAGTTCCACAATTCCCATGTGGTTGCTGGGAATTGAACTCAGGACCTCTAGAAGCCCAACTAGTGTTCTTAACCACTGAGCCATCTTGCCAACCTGAGAATCCCTTTTTGATGGCTGGTATTTTGACTTTTTTGGTCTCCTTTGTATAGATCAAAGTAATAGTAATCCTATAACCCAGGGACCACGTGGCCTACCTTGGAATTGTTTCTGTGTTGCAAAAAATGGAAAGGGGTACATGGAGGTGACTAAGCAAGTCACCCATGGGTGACTGAAGGGTGCTCATGGGGGAATGTTTGGGGACTGACTTCTGGATGGTCCTGTGACAGGGGAATCGCGAGGAAGGAGGAGAAAACCGAGACCAGGCCCGGGAAGATGCTCAGGTGAGACCCCCGCCCATCTCTACTGGACGGCTGGCTGGTCCCTGGCAGTCAATGGCTGTCAGGTGGGACTGGCTCCTGGCTGAGACATGGCTGGTTTGACTGACACATGGTTAGGTCGGAAGCAAATGCTTGAGGGCTTTCAAAGTGAGCTTGGGAGGGTAGAGCTTGTATCACCAGCCCTTCCCATGTGGATAGTGGGACCCTGGGAACTGTAAGGCAATCATACAGCACTCAGGTCAAACCTCTCAGCCTACAGTGGGAAGTGGAAGCCAAGAGGGTGACTGCTTTCTCAAGTCACACAGCAGATCAGGCCCAGGGATAACTGGCCCAGAAGGAGTAGGTTTGGAATCTTGCTGGGAAAGAGGCCTCAGAACCAAATGTCTGGGTTTCCTGTCTGAAAAATGAGACCCAAGTCAAAGGGAGTGACTTGGCAAAGTTTAGCAAGCTCCTGAAGGCTGGCGCTTCTGTCACTCACCGATGATGTATCCCAGGTATCCTGTGTCCAGTGATGACCGGATAACAGAGGGGTCACCAGGGTTCCTGGCCACTCTGCTTCTCGGGCTTCTCTGAAGCTGCTCTTAGAGGCTGGGCAACCACAAGTCATTTTCCCTGAGAGCACTATGGCTGCACAGCCCCCGCTGAGGCCCTCACTACTGTCCCCATGGACCCGAGCCAGGTCTCCATCTGTTCTGACTGCCCCATCCCCACCTGCTGCAAGAGCTGCCCCATGCTGGAGATGGGCACAGATGCCACCAACTCTAACGCTAGCATCCGGAGGTTACAGAAGGTCACTAGAAAGAGCATTGACAAACCCAGAGTCCCAGCTGCTGAGCCCCCAGCTTCACCAGCAGACATGGGCTGAGACACCAGTGTCAGCTCAGCAATCCCTGGGGTAGCCTGACAAAACCGAAACTGCAGAGTTAGGCATGCCCCAACAATGGGGGTGCTGATGCAGGAAGAGCAGGAGCCTAGCCTCAGCTCCCCGAGACCCTGTCTCCAAAGAACAACAAAAAACCAGCAACCCCCCAAACCCTTGTCACAGAGTTTAGCAGGTGTGCCCTGTGTTGAGCAGGCATTGACACTCTTCTGTGTACCATGTTGTTTTTCCTGGGGAGAAAAGCAGCCTTAGCCTGCCCACAGGGACAGTTTCTGAATGGCTTCAGTTTGATTGACACACAGGTCCAACTGACTCCAGTCTGGCTTCTACAATACCCTCCAGGACCCAGCACCACCATCTCCCATATAGCTCCTTACTCAAGAAACTGTGGTCCAGTTGTCCAGTCCTGTTCCAGAATAGACGCTCCAGGGTCCCAGTCAACAGGGTATTTTCAGTTATATTCAAGCACATTTATAGGTGCTAGCCGTGGAGTAACCCCACCCACCGTCATTTATTGAGCCCACATTTTACACACACATCCAACAGGTGTTTATTTAAAATTCATGAGAAGCCTCATGGTGTAACAAAGGGCTTTCGATCTTAGATTTCATCAGCATCCATCCTGTACCCTGACACCATCTCTAGGGAATGCTGCCACCTGGTGCCTGGTCTGCCTTGGATGCCAGCGGGGCAGTGGTGGTCCTGGCCCAGCAACTGCTTTGCAAGGGAAGAGGAGAGAGAGAAAACCTGGGTGGAGGCAGTGGAGGGACCCTTTGAACCACAGCCCTGCACTGACAGAGGCTCAGTAGCTTCTCCATAAATAAGGAGCAGATCCTGAGACAGTGTCAGCTCATTTTCTGACAACCAGCAAGTTTACGTTTCATAAGGAATATGTATTCTTTCATAGGACTTTAGAAAATAGAGCTTAAGAAAAAAATCTACCCTTCCCCTGTAGTAATCACTCAATATAGATATTCAAATTGGGCCTTCTTTTTGTATATATAAATAGTTTTCCTGCTTATGGCAGTTAAGATAAGCAGAATAAACCTCACCTGTCATCCCAGCATAGGTGCCAAGTTCTAGGCCAACCTGTTTTGCATGGTGAGTTTCAAAGGCCCTATTGAAAGAAAGAAGGGGGAGGGAAGTGATGCCTAGGGGTCAGAGGCGGCTTTCAGGAATGAGTTCTCTCCTCCTGCGTCGTCAAGGCAGAGCTCTCCTGTCTGTGCACTGCTACCGGCCCTGCAAGCTTTCTCCTGCTCTCACTATGAAAGTGTTGGGATTACAGATGTGCACCATCACATGAGCTCCAGGCAAACTCAGCAGGTTCTCTTGGCAAGTGCTTTGACCAGCTGAGCCCTCTCCCTGGCCCCAGTTACAATCTTCAGCGGCATCAAATACACTCACAGTGCACAGCCAGCGCTGCTACCCCGCCCCCTAGAACTCTTCTTTTGATCAAACTGAAACTCTGAGCCCATGACCATGAGCCAGTGGTTCCTCTCCCTCTAACCCAGAGCAGTCTGCTTTCTGTCTCTGGATTTGACCCCTCTGCAAACATCATGCTACAGGCTTGTCTGCTTGTAGCTGACTTACTTCACTCTGCACAATGCCCCTACCCTTGATTCATCTAGGTGACAAAGTATTGAAAACCCAGAGTAACCCTTTATAAGCCTTATAAATGGGATCATCATTGCTTGACACTTAAAGTGAAATAAAGTATTTCTACAATGGGGAATATGATCCTAAAATTCCAGGGTGGGTAAAGAAACCACCTAACTCTGACCTCATGAGTTGGACACTTGAGAGCTACATCGTCCATGTATGTACCTCCTGGAGAATATCAGTATTTTTTTATTTGTTTGTTTTTCGAGACAGGGTTTCTCTGTGTCGCTTTGGAGCCTATCCTGGCACTCACTCTGTAGACCAGGCTGGCCTCGAAGTCTCAGAGATCCACCTGCCTCTGCCTCCTGAGTGCTGGGATTAAAGGCGTGCGCCACCAACACCCAGCCTAGTATTCGTATTTTTTATCTAGATAAAAGAAGCACTAATATATACAATACATATGTACATATTGGGTTGTGTAAATCATATAGATGTCTTTTTTTTAATGGTGTAGGCAGCCTGGTCTACATAGTGGGTTCCAGGCTAACCAGGACTACATAGTGAGACCTTGTCTCAAAACTAAATAAAGACTAGGATCTTGGTCTATGCAGGAGAATTAGATGGTTGGTAGGATGCTGGGGAAAAGTCTAAAGACAGTTCAGGCACATTGAGACTAGCTGGATTTATTCCCAGACATTCTGGGTCAGAGCATCTTGGCTCACAAAAGTCCTGGCCACAGAGTCTGCTCCACTGACCATTCTTCTTAAGGAGAATGTTTGCAGTGTCCACCTATGCTGCGTGCCTGTGACTCCCAGGCCTCAGCTGTCCTGCCTTCCTGTCTATGACCTGAGGAGGATAGAGTCTGATACTGATTCTCTACAGAGAATCTGTGCCTGCCCCTGCCCCCTTCCTGGTGGTTCTGTAGGCTAGTGAAGGGGGTTTTCCTTCTCCCAGATGTCAGACAAACTGGGGCCTTCGGGCTTCCCTTGGTTACTGAGCATGAAGGTGTCATTCCCCTCTGAGAACCACACTTTAAAATTAAATTATTCCTGCTGGGCAATAATGGTGCATGCCTTTAATCCCAGCATTTGGGAGGCAGAGGTAGGGGGATCTCTGTGAGTTTGAGCCCAGCCTGGTCTGCAGAGTGAGTGCCAGGAGAGCCAGGGCTGTTACACAGAGAAACCCTGTCTCAGAAAAACAAATTCCCAGGCCTGTCTTCTGAGTTCTAGCCCAGAGGTTACAGAAAAAGAGATACCCCTCCCAGTCCTTTACCGTGACTCTGGGGTCTCTTGGGACCTCTACCCCTCTGAGCCAGGCCTTGGGGCTCCAGGGTCCTCCAGCCAATCACTCCAGCCTCTGACTCTTGCCTCCCCTCTCTCCCTTCTCTCTCTCCTCCCCGCTCTCAGGTTGCTGCTGAGATCTTGGTGAGTGTTCTGTTCTCCATGGGGATTTGCCAGCTTCTGAGTCCTGCTGTGCTCGGGCTGGGGGCTGAGTGGGACAGGATTGGGCAACCCCGGGGGCTTCCCTCACAGCTTCTCTCTCTCCCCTTCCGGGCCTTTTGAGGACTCAGTTTTAAAAGGGCCAGTTGTGATAGTGCACGGTTATAATCCCAACACTTGGCAAGTGGAGATTAGAAGGTCGGTGGTTCAATGTCATCCTCAGCTTCATAGAGAGTTTGAGGCTGGCCTGGACTACATGTGACCCAATCTCAAAAACGGGAGTCAAGAGCAAAGCAAGTGTTTCCCATGCTTTAGCCATTCATTTCAAACATGACTTACACTGTATTATCACCAGCTATGGCTTTAGGTTGACTCATTTTAATTTTCTTTTTAAACCCAAAGTGAGTTTTTAAAAGACAATTCAAATAGCATCATAGCTGGCTAGGGGATTGTGGAAACTTTTGTGGTAGAGTAAGATGCGTTTGCCCTTGACCCTAACTAGGGGAAACCAGCTAGGACATTTTTGCTTGTTCACATACCTGTCCATGCTCCCCAGAGGGATTCTCTTGTGGCTGGGTAGGAGGACCAAGGCCCTGTGCCCAGCTCCAGCCCCATCTCTGGGTCCTGAAGGCTTCAAAGGGAGATGGGATAACCATTGTGCTCCAGAGTTGAGGACAGAAGGGACCAGCCTGCATCCCCTTGGATAGCTGGCCTAACCCCTCCCTGCCTGCCCTGAGCCTCGGCACAGACAGTCGGTACTTACCATGGCTTTCTCTTGTCTCCCACCAAACCCTCGCCCCACCTGGGCTCTGCAGGAAATAGCTGACACTCCCAGTGGAGACAAAACTTCCTTGGAGACTCGCTTCATGACGGTCCTGTGCACTCGCAGCTATCCCCACCTCCGCAGAGGTGAGCCTACAGAGTACCGCCCCCACTTCCAGTATGGCAGCGGAAGCCCCAAATCTGACCTGAGCACCCCAGCCCTCTGTGAAGAGCAGAGCAGCTACATGCCTAGTTCCTTCTCCTCCAGTGGCAGAGTGGTAGGGGCTCCAGAGTCCTAGCCTGTTCTCAGCCTACTGCCTTCCCCACCATACCAAAGCAGATAGAACACCTAGGATAAGGAATGGCCAGCCAATGTCACCTCAGAAACATGCAGTATTAAGGATTCTGAGGGGTGCTGTTGTGATCCATTGGGGATGCTTGCCAGTAACAAAGCAGAGGGGGCGAGGATGGCATGGCACGGGCAGGCTACCACAGTGGCATTGTGCAGTGGCAATCCTGAAGTCCCCTGTCACTGGGCCTTTTACTGCCTCATGTGTATCTATCAATACTCAGACACTTGGTTGCCTTGACTCCAGTCCCCCACTTATCAGCTGTGTGACTGAGCAGGCGACTGTGTCTCTGTACCCTGATCCCCTTATCTGAAAATTGGGGTTTTCATGTACCTCACATGGTTGCCAGGATACAAAACCTACAATAAACATAAAGTAGTTGGCCTGTGCGAGGCATCCAAAGCCCCTGGGTGTCATTTTGATTATTATGTAGTAAGTGCCACCCCAGCCTGTCCAGGAATAAGAGGGAACCCAGAGAGGAAGGCGACCTTGGATGGTCCAGGTATAGTTCCTTTTACACATCAACCTGGGATAACAGAACTTGCCAAGACCTGGGGTTATTGTCCAGACCTGGAGGTGCTGGTATGGCCTAGTTGGCTTCAAGCCTTATGACAGCCCTGAGGCCAGAACCTGCCTGTCACCCCAGCCCTGCCCAGTGCCCAACATGTGCTGTGAATGTACTATGAGGACTCATGGGGTAGGTCAGGTGACCCTGCCTAGCTGGTGTTCACGTCCCCCTCATTTCTCTTGGCCAGTCTTCCAGGAGTTCATCAAGATGACCAACTATGACATAGAGCACGTCATCAAGAAGGAGATGTCTGGGGATGTCAAGGATGCATTTGTGGCTATCGGTAATGGGCAGGAACCAGGGGAAGGGACTGGGTCATTGCTGGGAATGTGGCAGGTTCCCTAGAGGAATGTAGCCTTAGCCTCATTCTATGCTGCTGTTACTGGGAACTAAACCCTGCCTCAGATCACCTCCCCTGCCAAGGTGATTGTGGGGGATAGCCTGAGAACATCTTCAAGGCTCTAGGGACTGGGTGAGAAACGGGCATTCCAGTGAAAGGACCAGGACAGCAGAGAAGGGCAGTGCTCTGCAGGACTCGAGTGTGTGTATACATGTATACCACACACTAGACATGCCATATATGCACCTGTGAGACTCACAGGACATGCATACATAGAGTGCAAGATGCATTCATTCACAGGGCATACACCTAGACACACCTTAAGTGTGTTCTCTTACACCACATTCTGCCACTGAGCTACCTCCTTTCTCTGGGCTTTTGTTTTTTAGGATTTTTTGTTACAATTTATTATTTACATGCACAGGTGTGTACATACCATAGCATGTGTATGGAGATCACAGGAAAACTTTATAGAGAATTGGTTCTCGTCACTATGCGGTTCCTGGGGATTGCAGTCAAGTCCTTAGGCTTGGTTTCAAATACATTAGCCTACTGAGTCACCTCACAGCCCAAAAATCTTGACTTTGGAAGGGTCTCTTTCCCCTTTGGGTCTCATTTCTCACTGTGTAAATATGGATACATACAGAGCTAAGGGTAATATTGCATTCTGTATATACCTTATTGTAGCAGCAGGTGGCGATAGAAAGCTTTCAAATTCTCTCCATCAACTGCAAAATGCATCTTGTTTTGGGTTTTTTTTTTTTTTTTTTTGTTTGTTTGTTTGTTTGTTTTTTCCAGAAAGGGTTTCTCTGTATTGTTTTGGAGGCTGTTCTGGAACTCGCTCTGTAGACCAGGCTGGCCTCAAACTCACAGAGATCCGCCTGCCTCTGCCTCCCAAGTGCTGGGATTAAAGGCATGTACCACCAACGCCCGGCTGCAAAATGCATCTTGAATTTCAGGAATTCTAAAATGTGGAGGAACAGTGTTTTAGATTAGATCAATGGGGGCTGGGGAGATGGCTCAGTGGTTAAAGCACCGGCCTCTCTTCTAGAGGACTCGGGTTCAATTCATACAGCCTCACACAGACAGACATGCAGGCAAAACACCAATGCAAATAAAATAAAAATAACTAAATATTTAGTTATTTAGATATTTTAAAAAAGATTAGATCGGGGCTGGAGAGATGGCTCAGCGGTTAAGAGCACTGACTGTTCTTCCAGTGGTCCTGAGTTCAATTCCTGGCAACCACATGGTGGCACAACCACCTTGAATGAGATCTGGTGCCTTCTGCTGGCATGCAGGCAGAAGACTTGTATATACAATAAATACATAAAATATTTTTTAAAAGAGTTATTTATTTTAAAAAATAGATCAATGGAGGTATTGCTTACAGTGTCTCTTTACCACCAAGAGCAACACTAGAGAGACAGGACAGCACAGTGATTAGAAGATGGGGAGCTAAGTAGAAGCTGCCACTTAATTTCTGTGTGACCCTGGGCAGAACACAGAACCTGTCTCAGCTTCTGTCTCCGTGACAGGATGTGGAAACTGGCCTTTCTACCTAGTCCTCAAGTGGCACAGAAGCTGTTAACCCCACATACACATCCCATTCCTACTCAAAATGTCTCTAGAATATGAATTTCTAGAGTGGGGTTTAAAACTCAGGTGTTATTTTGGGGTTTTGGTTTTTTGTTTTGTTTTGGGGGGTTTGTTTTGGTTTGGTTTTGCAACACACATGTGTAGTACCCTGTGAAATCCAGAAGTTGTTGTGGCCCCTGAAACTGGAGTTAATAGGCAGTTGTAAGTTGCCCAAAGGAAGTGTTGGGAAGAAAACTTGGGTCTTTTGGGACAGCAATAAGTGCTCTTAACCACTGAGCTATCGCTCCAGACCCTGAAACTCAGTTTTCAATCATCTTCCCAGAACATGCTTCTAGTGCACTCTATACTGGTGGTCCTGCATCCAACATCCATTAGGGCTTAAATCCCATTTACATATTCTGCTGGCCCCTGTCAGCTTCAAGCATCTTCACTGTAGGAAAGATGCAACACTTGGCAGAGAGAGAGGAAGAGATGGACTTAGGGGCCAGGAAAGGGAGCAGCATTGTGGAGGGGATATGAAGTGACATCTCCAAGCATGGAAGTTAGCAGTGACCTACAGACCCTGCAGAGCTGCACACAGCCTCTGACCAGATTCCCTGCTTCTCTCTTCTCTTTCCCTACAGTTCAGAGTGTCAAGAACAAGCCTCTCTTCTTTGCTGATAAACTGTACAAGTCCATGAAGGTATGGTATCTAACCTGTTTAGGAGCACTGTCTTTCCCAGACCTACAGGCACAGATGTGTGCCATCCCCAGATGAGGACTTCAGGCTGCTGTTTCCCTGCTTTGCTGTTTATCAGCATCAATGCATTGACCTGTCTTTCTCAATCAGAGGTGATTTTTGTGCCCCTCTCCCCCCCCCGGGGGATATTTGCAATATTCAAACAAATTTCTGGTGGGAGTGAACAGGAATGTTAATATGCCCTGTTGTACACAAGGTAGATCCCTATATCAAAGAATGATCCAGTCCAACTGCTGGAGAACTCCCTGTGTGCCAAGGCCACAGTTGAATCCCATGGCAGTTCTATGGGCCCATGGTAACCCCTTATTTCATAGAAGAACAAAGAACTAACAGTACAGGGCAGTTACACTTGGCCCATGTCTATATACCTGATAAGTGGCAAAGCTGGAGAGAGGAGAGGGGGCCCTGGTGCTCACATATTCCAGATCCTATGTTAGTTTTCAAGACTTCTCTAAGGAGTTTCCACAACTGAATGACTGGAACATAATCTCTGATGGTTCTAAAATCAAGGCATCATCAGCAAGGTCCGCTCCTTCTTATCCTGTTCCTCATACCCCTCCCTGCCTCCTGGGGATTGCCAGGAATCCCTGTGTATCTTGGGGTTTGCGCTGCTCCAGCCTCTACCTTCATCTGTGTGTCTATGCCTGTGTCCTGCCGCTCTTCTTAGATGCCACCCAGTGGGTTTAGGGCCCTAATCCAACATGACTTCATTTTAACTCATTACAGTGATGTGGTAATTAGCTTTCCATCTCTGTGATACAGTATCTGGGAGGAAAATCAAATTAAAGGGTGAAAAACTGGTTTTGGGCTTACAGTCTCAGAAGCTTCAGTCCATGGTCTTCTGGTCCATTGCCTTTGAGCTTGTGGTGATGTAGAATGTCATGGCAAGGAGGACATGGCAGGGCAGAGCTGCTCACTTCCTGGTAGCCTAGAGCAGAGAGGGAGGAAGGGACTAGAGACAAAGTGTATCCTCCAACACCCCCAGGACTTACTTCATCCTCACCATTTCCCACTAATGCCACCAGATTGTATATACATCGATGCACTGACCTGTCAAGGAAGTCAGAAACCTTAAGATCCACTTCCCCAAATCTCTAGCTCTGAACACTGCATCGGGGACCAAGCCTTCAATGCATGAATTTGGAGAAGGATACATCCTCCAAACCACAACAACACAAAGACTCTTTTCCCAAGGTTACATTCTAAGGTTCCAATAGGATGTTGAGTTTTAGCAGGGCCTGATCATCCCACACAGGCCCTCTCCACCTCTCTGTCTGGCCAGTCCTCAACACAAGGGATTTTGATTGGTACTGTCTGTGGAAGATAGCAATGGAATAGCCCACCTGGTTTGGGAGGGCAGAAGCATCGGGCAGGCAGACATCTGCTGACCTAGCTCTGCCTCTTCCTCATGCCCCATGTATCTCCTTCCCGGCTCCATCAGGGTGCTGGCACAGATGAGAAGACCCTCACCAGGGTGATGATCTCCCGGAGCGAGATAGATCTGCTCAACATTCGGAGGGAATTCATTGAGAAATATGACAAGTCTCTACACCAGGCCATTGAGGTAAGGCTCAGTGGGCTCTTGGATTATCATGAAATCCAGAGAACTGCTAAATAAAGGGAGACCTGCCTCATTGTCTTCGCTATGAAAATAATTATTTTACGTGTATGTGTGTTTGCCTGCATGTTGTTTTGCTTTTGGTTTTTTGTTTGTTTGTTTGTTTTCCAAGACAGGGTTTCTCTGTGGTTTTGGAGGCTGTCCTGGAACTAGCTCTTGTAAACCAGGCTGGTCTCGAGCTCACAGAGATCTGCCTGCCTCTGCTTCCCGAGTGCTGGGACTAAAGGCATATGTCACCACCACCCAACTAAAGCTGATCTTTTTTAAGAACACAATTCAATATTTATTTTTTATTTGTTGGTAATGGGGATTGAAACACATGCTAAGTATAACTGAGCTATAATACCAATCCTTCTTAAGAAATCTCTTATTAAGCGGGTATGGTAGTGCATGCCTTTAATCCCAGCATTCAGGAAGTAGAGTCAGGCAGATCCCTGAGTCTGAGACTAGCCTTAACTCACTCTGTAGACTAGTGAGTTTCAGGATAGCCAGGGTTACATAAAGAAACCCTGTCTCAAAAAAAAAAAAAAAAAAAGCCGGGTGTTTAGAGGCAGAGGCAGGCAGATCTCTGTGGGTTTGGGACTAGCTTGGACTAAAGATCCAGTTCCAGGACAGCCTCTAAACAATACAGAGAAACCCGGTCTTGAAAAACAAAACAAACAAAAACAAGAAAAGAAAAAAAGAAATTTCTTATTTTGAGACAGAGTCACTGTGTCACCCAGGCCTTAAAGTCACTTTGTAGTGCACACTGATGTTGAACTTGCCATGCTTTCGCCTATGCCTCCTATTTGCTGGAATTACAAGTGTGTCCCACCATACCTGGCTCATCCAGTGCTGGGGACCAAACCCAGGGTTTCATGCTTGGTCGACAAGCAGTCTGCTAACTGAGCCACATCCCTTAAAGTTTTTTTTCTTTTAAGATTTATTTAAAGCCAGGCGTTGGTGGAGCACGCCTTTAATCCCAGCACTCGGGAGGCAGAGGCAGGTGGATCTCTGTAAGTTCGAGACCAGCCTGGACTACCAAGCAAGTTCCAGGATAGCCTCCAAAGCCACAGAGAAACCCTGTCTCGAAAAAAAAAAAAAAGGATTTATTTAATGTATGTGGGTGTTTTGCCTGCACACCTGAAGAGGGCATAAGACCCTGTTATATTGTAAACTGCATGTGGGTGCTGGGAATTGAACTCAGGACTTCTGGAAGAACAGTCAGTACTTAACCTTTGAGCCATCTCTCTAGCCCTAAAGTTTTTATTCATTTATTTGATATAGTGCTCTGAATTGAAGCTGGGGTTTTGTGCATCCTAAGCGAGCACACTATCATTGAGCTATATTCCCAGCTCAGAATTTTCCAAGTAGCCAGATATCCTATAATCTGGAAGTATGGATAGATCAAGGTCATTCTTGGCTATAGTGAGTTGGATGCGAGCCTGGACTACATAAAATCTTGTCTCTAAAACCAAAATCATTGTAAGTAATAGAAACCCTCTAATGGGATTGGTCGGTGCCACTGGAGAGAGTCTGGCTCCCTGACCTGACTACAGACAGACCCTTGTGGTGTACCAGAAGAGGGGTACCAGATTTGCTGCTGGCCTGTGCCTTGGTGCACTGTGGCTCTCTCTCAGATGATAGCCACATAGCAGTGGGCACCATGGGCTAAGGAATGTGCCTGGTTTCCTGAGGCAAGATGGAGGCCTCAGGCCCTTCAGTGGGAAGCAGCAGGGCTGTCTGGCCAGGAGGAGCTGGGATGGCAGATGGGATCCACGCTGCACCCAGGAGAGAGGACACTGATGACTTGCAGCTCTGCAAGGTCAGGTTCTAAAGCGCTGATTGCTGGGGGTCACAGGTGTGTGTCTGGAGAGGTCTCTCTGGCCCTGGTACAGCAACTGTGTTGGTGACAGGGAGATGCTGTGGATCATGTCTAGGCTGATGGCCACTAGCAGGCTGGGGCATTTAGACCAGAATTATTCCTTTCTCACTCTGCTTTCTCTCTGCCATGCCAGGATGACACTTCTGGAGACTTCCTGAAGGCTTTACTAGCTCTCTGTGGCGGAGAGGATTAGAGCAACTGGTCTTGGTGGCCCCTCTGCCAAGCAGTGGCCAGCAGCACCAGCCGCCGTGACCTGACCAAGCCATTGTTCCAGCTTCAGAGACTAAGAAGGAGGAGTGAGGAGTGGAGTTAAGCTGTCATTCAGCTGGGGCTCTCTTTAGCCATCGAGGGTCCCAGGCTGTCCCTTCTGTTATCCCTCCTGCTCATGGCCGAGTGGCTGGAGAACCACAGCCACATGTCACATTCACCCCTGCTCCCCTTCTACCTCCCCCTCAGCCCTCCCTCGCTTCCATCCCCCGACATAACCCCTACCCCGATTCAAGCTTTGTCACATCTCAAAACATACCAAGCCTCTGGCTATAAAATGAGTGATGTGTATGCTTTGAAGGGCGGGCTGTGGTGACTGGTGCCAGGTGAGCATTCCGTGATAAAGGAGATGGATTAATTTGATAGAGTGATGATCTTCCCCACTGTTGCCATCTAATCCGCAAAGGACTGAGCTAGGAGTTTCACTTTGTGTCTATGACACTCTGGACTTCAGACCTCGGGCCCATCCCTTCCCTTCTCTGGCCTCTGTTTTGTTATCTACAAAATGAGAGATCAAAGTATCCTTATAACACTACCCTTCTAGACTGAGCCTGCAGCTTGAATCTTACTCATTCTTTTAAAAAGGGGAAGAAACAGGGCTAACTTTAGAACAAATTCTGTATAAGCATGAGGACCTGAGTTCAATCTCCAGAACCCATTTATTTTTATTCATTTTATTTTATTTATTTATTTTTTGTTTTTTGAGACAGGGTTTCTCTGTGACTTTGGAGACTGTCCTGGAACTAGCTCTTGTAGACCAGGCTGGTCTCGAACTCACAGAGATCCACCTGCCTCTGCCTCCCAAGTGCTGGGATTAAAGGCATGCACCACCACCACCCGGCACTTAATATTTTTTTTAAAGATTTATTTATTATGTACACAATTTTCTGTCTGCATGTAACCCTGTGGGCCAGAAGAAGGCACCAGATCTCATTACAGATGGTTGTGAGCTCCCATGTGGTTGCTGGGAATTGAACTCAGGACGTCTGGAAGAGCAGACAGTGCTCTTAACCACTGAGCCATCTCTTCAGCCCTCCAGAACCCATTTTAAAAATCTGGGTACCACCGGGTGGTGGTGGTGGCGGTGGCAGCAGTGGTGGCACACACCTTTAATCCCAGCACTTGGGAGGCAGAGGCAGGTGGATCTCTGTGAGTTCGAGAACGGCCTGGTCTACAAGAACTAGTTCCAGGACAGCCTCCAAAGCCACAGAGAAACCCTGTCTCGGAAAAACAGGAAAAAAAAAAAAAGTTGGGTACCCACAAGACATGGTGGTGCACGCCTTTAAACCCAGCACTAGGGAGACAGAAGCAGACAGATATCTATGGGTGCAAGGCCATTCTGGTCTACATAACAAGTTCAAACCATCCAGGGATCTATACCAAGAGCCTGTGTGAAAACAAGCAAGCAAGCATGTATAAACAAACAAAAAAACCAAGCGCATTGTATATTTATAATCTCAGTGCTGGGAGATGGAGACTGGAGGATCATGGGACTTTACTTCCTCCTGCTTCTTGGGAAGATACAGAGTGGGAGCCTGCTGCAAGCCCGGGAAGTCCCAGCTTCCTTGGGGCTCAGACCCCCAATCCTTGCCCCCTAAATGCCCTCCCCTTACAACCAACCCATACTTCCTCTCTGACCTCCTCAAGGACATGACGGCGTCAGGAGATTCATCTAGAGACAGGGTGGAGATACGCCGTGAGGCCCCATAGCAGCTTCTCTGTCCTCTTTTTTTTTTTTTTTTTTTTTTTTTTTTGGTTTTTCGAGACAGGGTTTCTCTGCGGCTTTGGAGGCTGTCCTGGAACTAGCTCTTGTAGACCAGGCTGGCCTCGAACTCACAGAGATCCGCCTGCCTCTGCCTCCCGAGTGCTGGGATTAAAGGCATGCGCCACCAGCGCCCGGCTGCTTCTCTGTCCTCTTTGCACAGCTATCTTCTGCTCTGCACTGGGATCTGAGATTTTCCAGGGACTGTGATGGGAGACTGTCCGCTGGGCAGAGGGCATCGAGGTATTTGCACTCAGGGTATTGGTGGTAGAAGCTGTCTGTGTGGACAGTTGGGAGATCCTGGGTCTGGTTTTTTGTCATTCTCTTACTGGGTGACCTTGCAGCCATTGTTCAGTGGCCTCACTGGGCCTCAGTTTTCCCGTTTATATAAGGAAGGGTTGGACATGATGAGGCTGAAACTAAGAGTACTTTGCTTGTCAAATCTTCCCGTCTCCTAGCAGGCCAGAGTCCAGGTGCTGGGGAGGGTCAGCTAAGAGTGCTGTGGGGTATTTATTTGGCCAATTTAACAATTAACAAAACGGATAGTGGTTTTCCAGTCAGACTTTTTTTTCAGAGACAGGGTCTCTGTTTTCTTACCTATAGCATGGGCTTCCAATTCTTCTCTCATAGCACTGTGGGAATCCAGTGAGACATTCTCTGAAGTGTTCCACCAAGCATCTACTTGGCTTGAAGGCAGCTCTTGTCACCATCTACCTTGAGCCAGGCTCAGTGGCAGGAGCTAAGAGGTGACTCCATGATGTCTTTGAGCTTGGACCCCAAGAAGTGGGTCAGCCCTGGATCATAGAGACTCCCAAATCAAAGAAGAATGACACCCTAATAGACACATGTACAGCTGGTCACTGGCCAGCTGTGATCTCAGACTGTAGGAAACCAAGGCAAGAGGACAGAAGGTTTGAAGTGAGCCTAGGTTACATGTCAAGACCCTTAAAACAGGGCTGAAGGGATGGTTCAGCAGGTAGTGGTATTTTCTACATACTGGTGAAGACCTAAATCCAAGTCTCCAGCATATGGGTAAAAATCTGTGTGCATGGGAACTTAGAGAGATGGCTCAGTGGTTAGGAAAACTGGCTGCCCTTCACAGCCATCTAGAATTTCAGTTCCAGCAGATCTAATGCCCTCTTCTGTCTTCAGACACCAAGCACGAAGTGGTACACAAACACACAGGCAAAACACTCATACACATAAGATAAAATAAAAATAATTTTTAAAAAGCAGTTTATGGCTGTGAATTCCTGTAACCCCAGCTGATAGGAAAGATGGAATCAAGATAGAATGATCTCTGGGGCTCCAAGTTCAGTAAGAGACACTGCATCTGCCTCCCAAGTGCCGGGACTAAAGGTGTGTGCCACCACCGCCCAGTTTGCAGTGACATTTTTATTAGTGTGAAAAAAGAAACAACCTTGATGTCTATCAACAGAGACCTGGCTGAGAACGCACTGTGGAGAAGCTAACCAGGTACACTACACAAACTCAGCAGATGTGTGATGAGGACAATGGCAAAAAAGCCTTTCCTACCACAAAATGTGAACCTCTTAAGCCCAGAAGATGGTTATGTTGTCTGCTAATAAAAACAAGCTGATGTGAGTAAAGCCGCCCCACGAATACCACCTACATTCCACGACTGCCCATGAAAACCCCTTAAAGCTGCCCAGTTAATAGCACAGACCTACCATCTACCTACCACCTACATTCCACGACTGCCCATGAAAACCCCTTAAAGCTGCCCAAACAACCTACCTACCTCCTACCTACTAGTTACTTCTACCGTCTATATTCTACTACTGCCTGTGGAAACCCCTACTTCCCCCAACTCTGATAAAAGAAAGAAAAATTAAGATGATAACAAGCCAGTAAACTGAGCCAGCCATCAATCCAAGATGGAGCCCAACTGCCCTTCTCTGCCCTGCTCCTCCCCACCCCATCCCACCCTGCCACCGACTTCATGCTCTCTTCAGCTGAAGTGAATCACCCTTCAAGGATTGCTCATAGGAGGGAGGGTTCCTGTGTTTATAGGATGAAGTGGTTGTGACAGAAATGGAGGTTTGTATCCATTCCCAGAGGGCCTGAAATGTCAGGATTTTCCTAGGTTCCAGGCAAGTCTTTAAGGCTTGTGGGCATGGGGGTGGTGAGGCATTCTTGTGTATGAAGAACAAGAACAAGCCAGCCCGTCAGCCAGCCAACAGCCTCCCTTCCTCCCTCTCTTCCTTCCTAATCCTTCTCTCTCTCTCTCTCTCTCTCTCTCTCTCTCTCTCTCTCTCTCTCTCTCTCTCTCTCTCTCTCTCTCTCTCTCTCTCTTCTCTTTCTTTCTTTCTTTCTTTTTGGTTTTAAAGGCAGGGTTTCTCTGTGGCTTTGGAGCCTATCCAGGCTGGTCTCGAACTTACAGAGATCCACCTGCCTCTGCCTCTCAAGTGCTGGGATTAAAGTCGTGTGCCACTACTGCCTGGCTTCTTTTTTTTTTTCTTGAAGCTGGGTTTCATGATGTAGCCCAGGCTGGCCTCAGACTTGCTATGGAGATGGAGATAACCTGATCCTCCTGCTTCTGCCTCTGAGTGCTAGATTGTAGGCATGGACCACCAACTCCCACAAACTAACGTATACAAAAGTCAGCCATTCTGAATCTGAAGCAACTTGTTCATTAATTATTCATTCATTTATTACCTTATACTTACTGATACCTGTTGTGTACTATGCTGAGTGCTAGGAGTTAGAGCTATGAACAGTGATGGTTCTAGTCTTTACAGGGCTTCAGTGAATGCCTCTTCTGTGTGATTTGCTCCATAACAGCATTGGAGATTGCACTTCTGGCCTAAGTTCAAGGCACAAAAATGATGGGGATTAAACTAAAAGGAAAGTGGCAGCAGTTCAAAGTTGGAGGAGGATGGCTTTGGGGTTCTAGGAGCTGAAAGGGCCTCAGAAATTCTCAGCTCCCCCTTGGTAGCCCATGAGGCAACCATCACTTCAAAGAGAGGAAGTGCTTGGCCATCACAGGAATTAGAATGGGAACTCCACAGTCCCTCCCAGGTCTGAGGTTCTAATAAGCATCCCATACCTTGTAGCATCTAAGTCACCCTCTGAGATGAGCTTCAAGGCTGGAGATGTGTTGAGTTGGGGGGTTCTTATGTGTATGTATGTGCGTCAACACCTGTGCGTGGTCCCCTTAGACACCAGAAGAGGACATTAGATCCCCTGGAGCTATAGTTACCGTGTAGAAGCTGTGAAACAAATCCAGGCCCTCTGCAAGAGCCACAAGTGCCAGCTCTCCAACCCATTTGTTTTTAAAACAGGGTCTCTTGTACCACAGGCTAGCCTCAAACTCTCTATGTAACTAAGAATGACCTTGAACTTTTGTCCCCCTCACAAAGTACAGGCAGGTACCACCATTCATAGTTTCTGCCATGCTGGGCCTCAACCCAGGGCTTTGTGCCTGCCAGGCAAGCCCTCTGCCAACTAAGCTATATGCCTGCATCCCTGGTCCCCTAGTCACTTTCACTGGAC